CAGTGCCCTGCGCAGGAGCGCAGGCTGTTGACAGAGCTGCTCAGGTTTTCTGTCACCGACCCACAGACACCCCTTTCTTCCTCCTGCTCCTCTCAAGAACTATGCCGAGTCGCAGCATTGATTCAGATTCTCCTTGTCCCCTGAGGTCATGGGAAATCTCTATCAACCTACTGTAAAAGAATGATTAAAGAACAGGCTTCCGCCCTGGCTGGTGCGGCTCATGGATTGAGTGCTGGCCTGCGAACCAAAGGGTCACGGGTTTGATTCCCAGTCAGGGCACGTGCCTGGGTTGCGGGCCAGGTCCCCAGTGAGGGGCAGGCAAGAGGCAACTGATCAGTGTATCTCTCACACACTGATGTTTTCTCTCCCTCTAAAAATAAATAAATAAAGTATTTTTTAAAAAGAATAGGCTTTAGAAGCACCTGCTAGGGAACTGGTGAACAGGAGATCAGCCCTGGAGAGCGGGGAACGCCACTGCGGCTGCCTGGCCCCTGAGCTCACGTTTCTCCGGGTGCCGTGGCATTCGCGTGGCGGAGGCTCTGGGCTTTCATTCTGGTGAATCTCGATTAGTGTGCACTGAGCACTGGCTGCCTTCCGGACCTGAGCTGCACCTTGTACGCGCTTGCCGTTTGCTCCTCTACCTCAGCCCTGTTCTGCAGGCCTGTCTGCAGCGATGGAGACGTTCTGTGTCCGCCCCGTGCAACACAGTGTCCGCCAGCCACGGTGGCCTCGGAGCACTTACAGTGTGGCTAGTGCAGGGGAAGAACTGAATGTTCTTTTTTAAATTTTAGTTAATTTACATTTGAATAGTTACATATAACTAGTGGCTATGCGTGGAGAGCTCCTTTAAACCCGTTTCACAGAACAGGGTTAGAGGGTGAAGTAATCTGCCAAAGGTACTCAACTCTAGGAGCAGGGCCAGGCTTTGGACCTTGGCCTCCTGCCCGGAGCCCCCACTCTTCACAACCCTCTTATATACCCCATTTCTCTCTCTTTTTAAAAAAGATTTTATTTATTTTTTGAGAGAGGAAGGGAAGGAGAAAGAGGGAGAGAAACATCAGTGTGTTGTTGCCTGTCACATGCCCCCCCCACCAGGGACCTGGCCTGCAACCCACACATGTGCCCTGACTGGGAATCAAACCGGTGACCCTTTGGTTCGCAGACTGGCTCTCAGTCCACTGGTAGCCAGCCAGGGCTGCCCCCTTTCTGTTACACTTTCTGCAGAAACTGTTTCCTGGTGGCAGACTGTTCCCTGATTCATAACACTGGGAGGGGGTGAGTGTGTGCGCACGCGACCCACCTTGAAATAAACGTGTACCGCACGGAGAGAGCTGTGAAACTCACCGGAAGGTACAGAAATGTGTAACGATGAGAAAACGTGCCCGTTCCCGGAAGTGGCAAAAGGCCACTTCTGCCCACAGATAGTCTCTGGGTTCGGTAGAATTCTACTCCAGATCCAGAAGGGAACTGTAATGAAATCTGATTCTAAACAGTGTGCCAGAACAGTCAAAGGAGTCTTGAAAATGCATAGTTTAGTCTAGGAAGACGGCATATTAAATCACAAATCAGTAGGGGACCATTAAGGTGGAAATGGGTTATCCATCCAAAAAATAATAAAGCTGAATCCTTATCTCATGTCATATATAAAGAGCTAAGCATTAAAAAAAAAACAAACAAACACCAGCCCTGGCTGGTGTGGCTCAGTGGATTGAGCGAGGGCCTACGAACCAGACAATCGCTGTTCCATTCACAGTCAGGGCACATGCCTGGGTTGCAGGCCAGTTCCCAGTGGGGGACGCACAAGAGGTAACCATACATTGATATTTCTCTCTCTCTCTCCTTCCCTTCCCCTCTAAAAATAAATGAATAAAATCTTTAAAAAAAAAACAAAAGTCCTAAAATCAAAGAATAAAGGTGCTCTTGTAATGTTAGACTGGGGAAAATAGGAAACTATAAAGGGAAATACTAATGGATCTAACTACATAAAATAAAATAAAATAAAAATTTCTCAATAGGAAGAAAAAAAACACCAAAAGCAAAGTTTGGAGGTCAGTTGACACTGGGCAAAACAAAGCAAATCCCCAAACCCCAAAACATTGCAGCAAACAGGGTTAAATGCTTAACGAACCAAAGTTGCGACAGATGAAAAGAGACCAGCTGCCAGGGGAAGACCGAGCCGAATAGGCAGTTTATAGAAACATGAAAACGAGTGGCTAATAAAGCTGTTCAACTGCACAGGTGATCAGGGAAATGCGATGAACACAAGTGCTGGTTTTCACCAATTTGGCAAAAATTAGACTAATTATATCCAGTATTGGCCAGCATGGTAGGGGTGTAAATTTATCCAGCCTTTCGGAAGGGCAAATGGCAGGTTCCGGCCACAGTGTAGATGGGCGTGTTCTGTAGCTCCAAGGTTCTGCTCCAAGCGCTCACCGCATGGAAATACCCACCCATGTTCCACTGAGGTTCGTGGCAGTGTCTTGTGTGATATCGAAGAATTGGGGACAGTAGCCATATCTAGCAATGGTTAAAGCATGATACAGTCATATTTTAGGAACAGTAAGACTGTGACAAGAATATAGTGGATCTGTAGGTAATGATATGGAAATATATACTGAGCGTTGTTAAGAAAAAGTGACTTTCAGAACAATGAGTACAGTATGTTCCGATGTTACTTTTTTTTTTTTATCCTCACCCAAGGGCATTTTTTTCATTCCTTTTAGAGAAAAACAAAAGGAGAGAGACAGACAGACAGGCATTGACTGGTTGCCTCCCGTACATGCCCCGACCGGGGATTGAACCTGCACCCTAGGCTTGTGCCCTGACCTGCGATTGGACCGGGTTTGGTTTACAGAACAATGCTCCAACCAGCTGAGCCACACGCTGTGCAGGGTCTACTTCCCTCTTTTAAAGTCTGTGTGGGCAAGAGAAGAGAGGGGAGGACACACTCGGGCTGCTGACAGAGGGGACCGGAGAAGCACCTTATACCTGCTTCCGTGTCGCTTGCATTTTTATGATAAGCCAATAGTGTTTGGGGAATAATGTTGTTTTACCGTATCTTGACCTGAGAAAGGGGTCTGAGTCCCAGCCAGGGCTCCCTCGCCTGGCTGAAAATCACAGTGACCGGTGTAACTTAAAACTTTTCCATGTGCCCTGGCTGGTGTAGCTCAGTGGATTGAGCACGGGCCTGCAAATCAAAGGATTGCGGTTCGATTCCCAGTCAGGGCACATGCCTGGGTTGCAGGCCAGTTCCCAGTAGGGGATGCATGAGAGGCAACCACACATTGATATTTCTCTCCCTCTCTCCTTTCTTTCCCCTCTAAAGATAAATAAATAAAATCTTAAAAAACAAACAAACAAAAACTTTTCCATGTGTTTCAAGTGTGATGGTGGATATGACTACTTTTTTATCATGAAGAAAATAAATAAGCCTGTTTAGCTTTTTTTTAAAAACAAAACAAAACATGATTTTTAAATTTACTTTTAGAGGAAAAGAAAGGGAGAGAAACATTAATGTGCAAGAGATAAATGCATTGATTGCCTCTCACACACCCCCCCTGGGGTCCTGGCCTGCAACCCAGGCATGTGCCCTGACTGGGAATTGAACCGGCGGCCTTTTGGTTTGTGCTCAATCCACTGAGCCACACCAGGCAGGACTGTTTTGCTTTTTTAGTAAGGAGATTACACTAGAGCACTGAAGACCCTTCTAGCTCTAATCTCAGATTAGATTTCCTAATTTTGAAATTAAAACACACACACACACACACACACACACATACATACACACACAGATGTGGGCTCTGTGGTTTTGGGTCGTGAGATGCACAGGAAGACTTTCAGCTTTTGCTGAGGACTGTGTGGCTTCTACCCGCCCAGTGTTCCTCCTTTTGGTCCTGGGGCTCCATTTCACCTGGCTCTCGGAGGCAGGGCAGAGCCCCAAGGACTGAGGTCGGCCCCTGGCCAGCGGGGCCACTGGGCTCACTCTGGGCCGCGGAGAAGAGTCTATTTTTGTTGTGGGGGCTGAATGGTTGGCCCGTCCCCAGGAGCGCGTGCTCACCGGTGTGGCTGATGTATCTCGCCTGCTGCTGCCGTCTCCACCACTGCTGCAGAAAACAGGAGAGCATGTTTGCCCAGCGCCAGGGCTTAAATCTGAGATGCGTGTACAGGGATGGTGCTCTTTCGTTGTGTCCTTCCCCCTTCTGGCCATTGGAAGGGTGGCGGCAGGGCAGAGTGTGGCCACCATGGAGGTGGAGAGCCTTCTCCTCAGGCTTGGCGTGGAAGGGACCCCTGCCTTCTAACCGGCTGCGGAGAACTTGGTCCAAGAAGCTGGGCTTTCTCAGCCTTCACCGAGCCTCTTCGGCTGGGTGGGGTCCGCTCAGAGCTGCCAGTCGTCTCACCTGCTGTCCAGCTTGAGGACAGTGTCCCTCTTGGTGTAGGGCTTCCCGTGACCCTGGCATGTACCCAGATCCATGTCCAGCCTTGTCAGGTTCCTCAGGCAAACCCGGTGTCCCACATCAGCCTGTGGCAACAAGACCGTCGGAGCAGGTGCCCCAGTTCATCAGCCCTTAGTTTCTGCAGAAGAGCAGCTCAGAGTGGGGCCACCGTGTTGCGCGACTCCAGGGGCGGGGCACTTACATGAGGCACGGGGGCTCGTTCATGTAGATAATGTTCCATGTGGGGCCTGGGGTTGTGGAGCTCGGGGGCCTTGGCTTGAAGGCTGGCGGGACCGGAGGCCTACGCGTGAACTGGGACCGCCGCGCTGGTCTCGTTGTGCAGAGCCCTTCCGGAGGGCTCGTGGGGGCCTGGGCCACGAGGAGGCAGCCGTGGGTCTCGGACCCTCTCATGCAGGACGGGCAGCAGTGCAGGCCGTTTGGTGGCCTTTGTTGGCCACCACATTCATCATTTGACTGGTTTTCTCAGCAGTCCTCTCAATTCCAGGGCTCCATAGCCCTCCCCTTACTGCGTTTCTAATCTGGGGTTGGTTTTCTTTCCCCCTTCAGCTGCAGAGCTACCTGGCTGCGTGTGAAGATGAGACCCCTGCCATCCGGAACCATGACAGGGTCCTGCAGCGTCTGTGCGAGCACTTGGACCACGCCCTGCTGTACGGGTGAGCCGCGGTCCTCCCTGGAGCCGAGGGCTGGCACATCAGGGCGCCGCCAAGGCCACGCGCAGCCTCCAGAGAGACGTCCCCGGCCTCGGGAGCCTTTTATCTCTTCCCTTGGCAGAGCTTTGTCTCACGCAGGCAGGCCGCGGGCTGTCTGTGGTTGGTGAACTGTCTCTGCTCAGGTGTAAATGACGGGGCGGGGAGGGGGGTGGGCAGCAGGTAAAATGCTGGTGGGAAGCCATGCTGTTGCCCGTGGGTCCCTGAGCTCACTGCTGACTCGGCCGGCGGACCAGCTGACTGCGGCTTCCCAGGGGCCTGTTTCAGCCGTGGCAGCTCCTGTCCTCTGTCCTCAGCCTGCAGGACCTCTCCTCTGGCTACTGGGTGCTGGTGGTGCATTTCACCCGGAGAGAGGCCGTCAGGCAGATCGAGGTGCTGCAGCACGTGGCCACCAACCTGGGGCGCAGTGAGTAGTGCCAGGCTGGCGCCGGGAGGGCCCTCCCCGTGGGCTGCTCAGGGCTCGGGTTCAGCCCCTGGTCAGCCCTGGAGGCTGATTCCCTCCTGATCTCTGGGGGCAGTGGGCGCTGAAGCGCCGGTGCTCTCCTCCCCACAAGGCCCCTCTTCTCCCTGCACATGGCGGTTTGTTGGAGCATCGTGGGCGAGGTGGGGGGGGGCGTGAAGGAGAAGGAGACGCCGGCGAGGCCCAGACCCCGCGGGCCCAGACCCGGCACGTGATGGGCCTCGCATCAATCTCTGAGTGAGGGTCGGCGTTAGCCTGCAGGGTCGAGCAGGGTTCTTGCATTTGTCATCCCACCTGAAGTTTGCAGCCTGTCCTCTGTGTCAGAGCTTCCTGGGCCGCAGGCTGACTAGGGGAATAAAGATCCCAGGGCTTATGACATTCCAGTAAGAAGGCTTTTGGAGCCTTGGCTGGTGTGGCTTAGTGAACTGAGTGCCAGCCTGTGAACCGAAAGGTCACTGGTTCAATTCCCAGTCAGGGCACAAGCCTGGGTTGCAGGCCAGGCCCCCAGCTGGGGGCGTATGAGAGGCAAATAATTGACGTTTCTCTCTCCCATCAATATTGCTCTCCCTCCCTTCCCTTCTCTCTAAAAATAAAATCTTTTAAAAAAAGAAGAAGGCTGTTGGGGTGCGTGGTCCCCTCACTTACTCTTTCCTTCCTTTCTGCCCTTGCTTGGCAAAAAAGCCAGCTCCTGACTACCTTCCTTCCAGTTACTCCTGCCCTTGTTTGCAGGCCGGGCCTGGCTGTACTTGGCCCTCAACGAGAACTCCCTGGAGAGCTACCTGCGGCTGTTCCAGGAGAACCTGGGCCTGCTGCACAAGTACTACGTCAAGTGAGTGTCTGCTCAGTCTCCTGCAGCCCCGGCGCTGCCCTGGAGCAAAGTCCCAAAGACTGTTGTCACGTGCAGACACCACGGTGTGCCACATCAGAGGCCTCGCCTGGCACTGCCTGCCCAGGGCACGTCGGTAATGGCCGCTGGGCCGTCAGGGCCTTGCCTGGGGCAGCCTTTGCCAGGAGTTCCGGGGCTGTGGCCGGGCTGGTGTTCGGCAGTTGGGGGCTCTGCCTCTGCCCAGCCCTCTCTCCGGGCCTCAGGCCCCACTAGAGTGTGCGCCCTTTGCGGGGGTTGCTGCAGGATCCGTGTCCATAAGCAGCTGCTGTGAGCCAGACGGCCCTGTGCTGCAGGTCCCGTATCTGAGGGCACTGGCGCTCAAGTGCCGTGTGGCCCCAAACCCGGGGGCGGGGGGATGCTGCGAAGGGGCGGGTGAAGGCTGCCTCAAGCTGACTGGGTGCCCTCAGGGAGTAGGGGTGTCACGTGCCACATTTCAGCACAGCCTGCGTGTTGGGGAGGTAGGGCCGAGGTGGCAACCAGAGCCAGGACCCCATCGTCCCGCCTTGCGTCTCGCAGGAATGCCCTGGTCTGCAGCCACGATCACCTGACTCTCTTCTTGACCTTGGTGTCTGGGCTGGAGTTCATTCGATTCGACCTGGATCTGGTGAGACACCACGGCTCTCGCTGCCCGAGGGGCAGAGGGGTGGGCAGGGGGGGCACGGGTTCCGCTGTCCGGCTGCCTCCCAGGGAGCCCGCTGGGCGTTATGCAGGTGAGAGCGGCCTTTGTGTTTGGGACAGTGGGAGTGAGTGGAAGGGGGTGAGTCTCTCTTGGCTTAAGGCCAGGTTCCCTGGATCACCTTCCCATCTCTGTCCCAGCTTGGAGGGGAGCCGCGCTGCCTGGCGCGTTTGAGCGCTGAGGTACTCTCCCTGATGGTCCAGACAGGCATGTTTGAGAGGGACAAGGCAAATTCATCCCTGTGCCTCCTGGGGTCCCGGAGTTGTCACCAGCTCCATATTCCCCTGTGTCCCTTCTCACGTGGGGCATCCCGCACTGTCATGCACTAGAGAAATCCGGTGTTGGCCCCGAACAAGCCAGAGGGGCCCAAAGCGCCTCTTGGACTTGGGCTCATCAAGGGGGTGCAGCTGCCCCGTCCTAATCACATCACCTTCCCGGGCCCCTTCCCCATCAGCACAGACTGAAAAGGAACTTAGCCGCTGGAAAGTACTAGAAATTAGGGAAATGAGCAGCTGTCATAGTAAGAGGTCGAGGAAGGGTTAGAATGCATAGTTCGGGTTCTGTCACCTCTGTTGGCTTCATGTCAGCTGTGAGAGCCACAGCTGCGCACAGTACTCTCTTTATCAGCTTGTGTCTGAGTTTAGTACTTTAAGCCCATTGGCTTCCCAGAGAAAAACCAGCATGGGAAGGGGGTGACTGCAGGTGTGTGGCTCCCGACCCTGGACTCTGCCGTCCATGTACGCCCTTGTTCTGTCCCGCCCAAGGCCTCCCGCCACCCAAACCTGCCTTTTCCACTCTCTCCTCAGGACGCCCCCTATTTAGACTTGGCCCCCTACATGCCCGACTACTACAAACCTCAGTACCTGCTGGACTTTGAAGACCGCCTTCCCAGCTCGGTCCACGGCTCGGACAGCCTGTCCCTCAACTCCTTCAACTCCGTCACCTCCACCAACCTGGAGTGGGACGACAGTGCGATCGCCCCGTCCAGTGAGGGTGAGTGGCCCCGGGGCGGGGAGCGGCCCCGCCTCTGCCGTGACCCTGACTCTGGAGCCGCTTGCCCCTGTCTGGGTGACGTCTTTCTCAGCTGGTTTTGGTCTGGTGGTTGAAATGGAGGTTAAACAGGGTCAGCTGTTTCCCAGATCTTCATTTTCTCCAAGTCCCTTTGGTGACCAAAACACTGATTCTGGAGACAGAAAGCCAAACGATCTTGTAGATGTTAGACCCTTTTCCAGAAGGTACTGCCACATGTCTGGGGTCAGTTTTCTGAGTGAGGAGGGGTTAGCAGAGTGACCTGGAAACTTCCTGTCATTGCAGGGATGGGTGTCGCCTGCCCCCAGGGGGTGTCCTACCCCAGATCCTAGGCAGAAAGACGCTAAGGAACCTCTGGAAGGAGAAGAAAGCCAGATGGGGGCAAAGTTTAGGGCGAAACCTGCCACCATTTCTCAGGAGTCCATTTGGTTTCGGGTCCCTCCTGCACCTGCTAGTGTATCAGCGACAGTCATACCCATTGCGTCAGAAACTGAAAAAGAATGTCACCACATCCAGATGTCATTTTGTTGTCTTGGTCAAAAACTTAACTGGAACAGCCTGGTCCCGTTCAAAACTTGGGCCTCTGAGTTTATAAAACTGGCTGTTTCCCCACCTTCATCCCCGCACCCGCCCCACCCCCAGGGCAGGGGAGCCAAGCCCAGTCCAGCCCCTGGGACTCCCTGAAATTGCATCAGCATTGAGACAGCCTTTTTCTTTATTTCTAACTGTGCCGTGGGCCATGTTGCTGGGAGAGGGTAGTTACTCTCAGCCTTGCTGATAGCAAGACTTGCATTGCTCCTTGTGCAAGAGGAAGAAAGCGCTCAGCCCCCTGGGGTTGGGCTCCTGGGCTGCCTCAGAGGAGTCAGGGGGACGGGCATGGAGGGAGCTGTCCCCACCTCTCAGCTGCTGGGTGTGGAGGCAGGGGAGGCACGGGATAGAGAGGAAAGTCGGGCGCAGGTGGGCCCACGTTCTCTGCCCCCGGGCGTCTCCCTAGCTGGTCAGAGGCCACTGAGCCAGCGCCTGAGCTGAAGGGGCTGGGACCTGATAAGTTCCTCTGAGGCTGGCTGGTAGATAAAATGTAGAAAGTTTCGTTTTTTCCTCTGGTTTTCTCCCATGCCTCCCACCCTGTTGCCCCCACCCTCCCTGTCCTTCCACTGTCTGTTTCTAACCTCAGTTTTGTCCCCGTTTTTGTAGATTATGATTTTGGAGATGTGTTTCCAGCAGTGCCGTCTGTACCCAGCACAGACTGGGAAGGTGGGACAGAGTCTGCCGTTACCCTCTTTTCCTGTTTTTGCAATGTCTCCACGCCAGGCTTGCTGCATGATTCAAATTCAGCTCGTTGTTTATAATAATGTCAATGATCGCGTTAAAGCCGGGTTTGGTGTTCTGATAGATGGAATTCTGCAGTAGGAAAACTTGACCTTTAGCCCTAGGCAAATTCCTTCTCTCAAGGCAGGACTCCTGCCTCTGTGCAGTGTCCTCGTAGAGTCACTAGTGACTGCTTTTCAGGGACACACAGGTCACCCTTCCTGATTCTGATGCGAGTCCATGTGCTGGGTGCGTGTGGGGCGCTGGTGACCTGACCCAGCGAGTGGAGACCTGTGCTGGAAACTGATGCTTTTGGACGTGTGGGTTATAAATTCCTTTAGGCCAGATGAGTTTCTGTGTCAGAAACATCAGGAAGCGAAGGCAGAAGGCTTGATTCCTTCAGTCCATTCCTAATGGTTCCCTCTTGGGTAGTTTTGAATGAGATTGAGATCTGAATGAGATGGCGGTCTAAATAAGGGAAATTGCCCATGTACACGTGAAACTTCCTCCTGGGAGATTCCGTTTTAAGGCAGATTAAAATAAACTCGGTGCCCACTAGGTGGCAGTAGTGCTCGGGCATTTTTCCTGCCCTATATTCAACTTCTGGGCTTGTGAAAATTTGTGAAGCTATTTTCTACATTCCTGTGATTATTCAGAGCACAAGGCATGTTTCTGGGAAGGTTAATGCTTCCTCCTTAAATCTAAGGCCATAACCAGATCCCTGTATTAAAGGCCCCCTTGCCTTGTGGGCCCCTTCTGCCCAGGGTGGGCTGGGGGCCCGCTCTGAAGGAGGAGGAGCAGGTGCTCCCCACTGCCGGGAGCTGGCCCCTCATTAGTAGAGCCACGATTTCTGAGTGATGGATGGCAGATGACCTTTTTCTGAGTAATGTGCAGATGCAATCGCTCAAGTTGGAGGGAAGTAAGATGGCACCGGGGAAACATAAATTCTGTCCTCTGGCCAGGAGGTGGCGTCAGGGGGTCCCGGGTCTTCGTTAGCATTAGCCTGAAATCCAGAATTCCATCGCGACATCATCATCCTCTCTGCCTCTCTTCTTGCAGCGGACACGCTGGGCACCGACACCCCCTCTGCCTCTAACAACTAACCCCCTCCTGACCCTGCTACTCGTTGCCTGTTGCAGTTGCTTGACAAGCAGGGCCTGACCTCCCCCTGCAGCCCTGCGGGGTCCCTGTGGCCTGAGAACTAACTGCACAGCCACCCTGCTTGCCAGGCCGGGCACCAGGGCAGGGCGAGGTGCATCCCGGCAGCGGTGTCCTGCTTGTGAGCGCCTCGAGCTCCTGGGAGGTCCTGAGCCCACTCTGGACGCTCACCTGGGGAGCCTTGCTCTTCTCCTTCCACCAGAGGAAAGCAGGACATGGGGGCAGCTCCAAACTCTGGGCCCCGGGGTGGGGGTTGGGGTGGGTGTTCCATGGTCCTTAGCTCACTTACAGGACTGGTGGGTACCCCAGCCTTGACACCCACCACGTCCGGCAGTCTGCTCGGCCACCTCTCGGATTCACCTCCCGTGGCAACGGCATATCTCCAGGAGCTGGAACAAAATCGTGTGGGCTTTGCGGGAACCTCCTTTGAGACCGAAGGGCAAGGTTTTCTACATCTGAGAACTAAGGCTCTGGGGTCCCAGGACCTCAGAAGAAAGTCTCATCTATCGCTAGTGTTTTTCTGGCAGAGATGGCGGTTGCTTTAGCCACCTCCTTTGCCCTGCTATTAAAAGACAATGTACTTTTTAAAAAGTACAGGTGATGTGCTGTGTCAGCAGACAGCTGCCAGTGGTTTCCGAGATCCACTAGGAAGCTGACAGCAGGTGGGCCCTTCCAGATGAGGCTGAGGGTGGGAAGCATGCTTGCCATGTCTCCTGGGCAGGTAATGGCCAGTCAGGTGTGGAAAAGGTGGCTAATGGAGCGTGAACAGCTGGAGTCCCTTGCCATTAACCCTCACCCAGACTGTTCCACCAGCTGGGCCTCAATTCTCCGCATGGGCAGCTCCCATCTGCCACCAGATAAATGTCCCGTGTGCCTTTTCTACTGGTGCTCCCTCCTCTCCACACCCTGTTCCAGTGGCCTGGGGTGGATGGTTGCAGAAAACCAGCTCTGCTCTGGAGGGGCAGCATCACCCCCCACCTGGCTTCTCCTTAGGGTGGTCCACGATCAGAGTGGACCAGTGTGCAAGCTGAGGGTTGAATGAAGTGGAGTCCTCAGCACCCCCGTAAAGGGGCACCTGGACCTCCCCGCCTGGAATGTGCTGGAGATGTCAGGGACAGAAGCAGATGCCCAAAGAAAGGCCCACGCGGCACCTGTTGGGGGCAGCCACTCCACACACCTTTCTTGTCCCCTTCGCATCTCGATCTCCCCCGTGCTCTGGCTCTGTCTCTCTGCCCTTCCCCATGCTCCTCACCCCTTGGGTTTCCTGTCCTGTCCTCTCAGCCTCTGCCCTCCACTGTGCACCCCTCATTTTCTCTGATCCCTGGTCTCTCTTCTGTTCCTTTTCATCTGCCTCTGCGGGGCCCCTTCAGGGGACCACGGGTACCTCAGCCCTGCTGGTGCCTTAGGGTGCTAAAGGGGCGGCCGGGCACCCCCCTAACACCCTCTGATGGAGGGCTCCGAGGTTAACCTGAGAAGTGTGTGGCCCATCTCGGGCCATCTCGGGCTTCAAGGACCCCATCCTCGAGGGGCTCCAGCCTGGAGCTCTTAAATTTGGCCAAACTGCTGTAGCTCTCGGGGCTGCTGGTGGTGATGGTGCTGGGCTCTCTCGGTCGCTCTTAAACACATAAATCCCACATCCTGTTGGGCCGAGGCCTCCCCTGGAAACAGGGCCTGCCCCAGTTGGGTTTCCCCAGGAGGAGCTCTCCTGCCTCCCTCGTGAGGTAAGGCGTGCCATGGGGGCCTGGGGACCCCGGACGGCGTCTGATGGGCTGTCACCTGCTCCTCCCCTCCCAGATGGCGACCTCACCGACACTGTCAGTGGCCCCCGCTCCACCGCCTCGGACCTGACCAGCAGCAAAGCTTCTGCCAGGAGTCCCACCCAGCGCCACAACCCCTTCAGTGAGGACCAGGCAGAGCCCATCTCCTCCTCTGACACCACCCCCGTGCATACCACCTTCCAGGAGAAGGTGGAGTCCCGCACCCCAGAACCGCCGGACGCCTGCGCGGAGCTCGAGGTCATCAGGTCAGCGGGGGCTGGGTGGGGGGAGATGGGTGGGCTTCCTGGCGCCCATTCTGTCCACTGCTAGCATCCCTTTTTGTCCACTCAGGCATTTGGGCGTCTTCCTGGGGACCGAGTCCCCTCCCTTTCTCGGTAGTGCTTTGAGTGGGAGGAGTAGCGGGCCCAGGAGGTGAGAGGCGAGGCCACAGCCGTGCTGGCGCTGGGGCCTCTGGGATGTTTGTCCAGTCCATCCAGGACTGGAAAGCACCTTCAAACAGGACTTCTTTTCACAGGAGTTCTTGGATATTGGTGCATAATTTCTGAGATTCGTACTAATCCTATTTTTTTTAAGATGTTTTAAAATTTATATTTAGACAGAGGGGAAGGGAGGGAGAAAGAGAAGGAGAGAAACATCGATGTGTGGTTGCCTCTCACGCTCCCTACACTGGGGAACCTGGCCCAAACCCAGGCATGTGCCCTGACTGGGAGTCGAACCAGCGACCCTCTACTTCTCAGTCCGGCACTCAATCCACTGAGCCACACAGCCAGAGCTGTACTAGTTCTAGTTCAGCATGTCTCATTCAAGGAAAAGTCTCTGTCATAGCAACAGGAACACGGAAGGAAGGAGAAGGTGGATGACAAGCTGGGACATTCTTGGCCCAGACCGCCTGGGCTCCCTGCCTCCCTGGCTTCTGCCCTTGAAACTCTCAGATGCCCCAGGGGCTGGCTAGCCCAAGGCAGGCGAGTTGCTCCCCAGCCCCCAGAGCCAGGGGTCCCTCTCCCACAAGCTGGTTTGAGTCCAGAGCAGCTTGAGCCACTCAGACCTGGGATCACCTAGCCAGGCCCGCTGTGGCCCACTTGGGACCAGAGTTTGAGGCCGGAAGACTTTGAGTGCGTTTTTGGTTGGACTGTCCACGATGGTACCGAACGGGCAGTGAGGCAGCTCAGGGGTCCATCACCCATGTCCTCAGGGAAGGGCTGCTAGAAGCGCCATCAGCCTGACCAACCATGGCCTAGAGCACAGCCGGCCCGATCGCAGGACCTGCTCGGGGCCCCCTCAGGCTGGCCACTGCCTCTGCCAGCCACGGGGGAGACCTCCGGGACCACGCTGCTGCTGCCCCCGGCCTGGGGCCCCGCACCCAGCACTGCAGGACCACTGACGCTCTGGCCGTGCCCTCAGAGGTCACAGACGCAGGGTCGGCTCTTCAGACCCTGCCTGTCTGGTTTCCCTCAGCACTGTGGTGCTCAGGTGCTCATTTCTCCCCATGACTTCTGTCCTAGGGTCACGAAGAAAAAGAAAACTGGCAAGAAGAAGAAGGCCAGGTCAGATGAGGAAGCAAGCCCCCTTCACCCGGCCTCTGCCCAGCACACCGGGGCCAGGACGGGGGATGGCGACAGCTGTGTCAGCAGCCCAGGCCTTGGGCGGGGCTCACCGGAGCCCCCCTTTGCCTCCCTCCAGGAGAAGGGTGAGGCGCCCGGCAGCGCAGCTGAAAGCGGCGAGCGCTCAGAGCCCAGCCAGATGGGCCTGCTCATCCCCGAAATGAAGGACACCTCCATGGAGCGCTTGGGGCAGCCTCTGAGTAAGGTCATCGACCAGCTCAACGGGCAGCTGGACCCTCGCACCTGGTGCGTCGAGCCCCCAGACCAGTCCTTTCGGACCGGCTCTCCGGGGGCCACCCCGGAGAGGCCACCATTTTGTGACTTTAGTGAGGGGCTTGCAGCCCCAATGGACTTCTACCGCTTTACCGTCGAGAGTCCAGGCACTGTTACATCAGGTGGCGGCCACCATGACACTGCAGGGCCTGGCCAACCGCTGCATGTTCCTGGTGGCCCTGAGGCTGCTGGCCAAGAAGAAGGAGGAGGAGGAGAGGGAGAGGCGCCTCGGCCGCTAGGGGACACCCTGGGGGAGGCTCAGGAGCCAGAGACCCAGGAACCAGAGACCCAGGAACCAGAGACCCAGTCGCCCCCGGTCGGGGAGGGGCCTGGGCCTGAGCCGGAGCCTGGGACCCAGGAGGCTCTTTGCCCACTCAAACGAGACCAGCCCAGCCCGTGTCCGAGCAGCGCTGAGGACTCTGGGGTGGATGAGGGGCAGGGGAGCCCCTCTGAAATGTCCCACTCGGCAGAGTTCAGGTGAGCACGACTGTCCCTGCCGCTTGAGTGAGACACTCCTGGTCCTGGAAGCAGGGGGCACTGGTGCCTGTCCTCCAAATAAACTAAACAAAACTCCCGGAAGACCAAACCTGGGCTAGGGGGTAGGAAGGGGTGTGACCCTCCCCCCCCACCCCCCGTTTTGGCTCCTGGTTGGGGGCAGAGCCATGACACCTGCGCTGCTTCTGGGTGCCTGTGCCACCCCTCTTGTGTGTGTGTTTCCTGTCCATGTCTGTCTCCCCTGTCCCGCTGCTGCCCCAGCCTGACGCCTTGCCCCTCCATGTCCGTCCCCCCCACAGAGTAGACAACAACCACTTACTCTTGCTGATGATCCATGTGTTTCGGGAAAACGAAGAGCAGCTCTTCAAAGTAAGTCCAGGGACTCGAGCGAACCAGAGCCAGCACAGCGCAGGCGAGGGGGGTGGGCTGGCCGCTCAGAAGGGGACGCATTCGGCCCGGGGCGGTGGGCGGGGGGCCGGCCGCGGTGCCTGACCTGGCGTGGCTTCCGCCCCCCAGATGGTCCGGATGAGCACGGGGCACATGGAGGGCACCCTGCAGCTGCTGTACGTGCTGCTCACGGACTGCTACGTGTACCTGCTCCGGAAAGGTGCCCGCTGCCCCGGGCCCCGGCCCCCCACACCCCGAGAGTCCCCACTGCCCGGCGAGCGGGGATGCAGATGCACCCCACGGCGGTGTTGCCGCCGTCCTGGGGCCTCCTCTCCACGAGCACCCCGTCCTTTCAGATCGGTGGGCCCAGGGTCTTCTGGAGACGGGCCCGGTTCTAGAAAATGGTTCCGGGGGAGGGAGAAGAGGCCACTGTGGGAAATAATCGTTGGGGTCTCCTCTCTCAGGGGCCACCGAAAAGCCGTACCTGGTGGAAGAGGCTGTTTCCTACAATGAACTGGACTATGTGTCGGTGAGTTCGGGCTCCGCGGCGGGTGTCTGCAGTAGCCGGGGCTCCTCGGGCGCCCACCGCGGGCTGCAGAGCACACAGGCCCCTGCCTAGGCCCTCGGGGTTGGGGGCCGCTCATCACTGCAGAGCAGCTTCTGTACATGGCGCCGGGGATGGGGGCCAAGCTTGAAGACGCCTCTGACTCTTCATCCGCCATATCTGTGACCGTCCCTCCCTGACTCGTGCCAGGGTCCCAGGCCTCTGGAGCTTTACCTCGTGGCAACCCCAGGGTGTGCTTCCTCCCTCCCCGGCCGGCCCTCTGCCAGGCAGCGGCCAAGCCCCGTGTGCATGCGAGGTGTGGTTTCTGGCAGGTGGGCCTGGACCAGCAGACGGTGAAGCTGGTGTGCACCAATCGCAGGAAGCAGTTTCTGCTGGACACGGCTGATGTGGCCCTGGCTGAGTGAGTGACTCCCCCTGCCTGCTACCGAACTGGAGAATTGGTGTCTGCCTCTGGTTTGGCCATACCCTGGACCCGTGCTGTGGGGGGCGGGGGTGGGGGGAAGTGGCATACAAAGAGGTGGAGGACAGAGACATGTCCCCTTTGGAACCTGCAGTCTGGTCAGAGAGGCAGGGAAATGAACAGACACCCCGACTGGTTGACTCGTGGTCAACCCAGGTGACCTGCATGGAGGAAGGGTCTGGGCGGTGCTCCCCAGCAGGAAAGAAAGTACAGTCCTCGCAGCAGGACCGTGGCATCCCTGCACAGACTCACTTCCACACAGAAACTGCGTGTAACAAGAGTGTATTGTCTGTCATTCAAGTCCAGCTGCCTTCCTTCCCAGTCTGCCCTCGCTGTCAAAGCCCAAGGTCCCCTGGCCACTGGGAATGGTTAGGTCTTTTCCAAGGCACCATTGGATGACCACGGACTGCTGTCACATTGCTGCCCTGAGCTCCGGTTGCAGCCGGGTCCCTCCCCCAGGTTGCTGTGACCCCGGCAGGCCCGGTGCCCTCAGCAGTAAGCCTTGTTCGTCTTCGGGGAGGTGTCCAGGCTTCCAACAGCAACTCCACCCCCTGCACAGGTTCTTCTTGGCTTCTTTGAAGTCGGCTATGATCAAGGGCTGTCGGGAGCCGCCCTACCCCAGCATCCTGACAGATGCCACCATGGAGAAGCTGGCGCTGGCCAAATTCGTGGCCCAGGAATCTAAGTGCGAGGTAAGAACCTGGGGACAGGGGTTGTCGCTGAGACGCCAGCCCTGGTATCAGGGCCAAGAGGTACAGATGGAGGTCTTCGGCATTCTTCTGTCACCCTCCCCACTTGGGCTGTGTCCTTGCTCTCGGCGGCTGCTTCTGGTGTTGAGCCGGACCTCACCGCTCTGTCCACTGCCCCCCCCAGGCGACTGCCGTTACTGTGCGCTTCTACGGGCTCGTGCACTGGGAGGACCCCATGGATGAGTCCCTGGGCCCTGCCCCCTGCCACTGCTCACCGCCCGAGGGCGCCATCACCAAGGAAGGCGTGCTGCATTACAAGGCGGGCACCTCCTACCTGGGCAAGGAGCACTGGAAGACCTGCTTCGTGGTGCTCAGGTGGGAGCCCTCGCAGCCCCGGCCCCAGGCTTGGCCCTGAGGGGCGGGCTGTCTGGTCCCCCGCCGGGAGCTCTTTGCTGCAAGTCCCTGAAGAGCAAGGCCCAAGGTGTGGGGGCTCCCTGCTCCACAGGGTTCTGGGAACACATGTGCCGTGGGAGCGGCATTCCCCACTGCCCCTCTGGGATCCAGGGCTCCGGCTTACAAGGAGTCCCAGGGGTCTGGGCTCCGCCTGGCCCCCAGGTCCTGGGTCAGGCCTCACCCGCCATGTTGTCCCCCTGCAGCAACGGGATCCTCTACCAGTACCCCGACCGCACCGACGTCACCCCCCTGCTCTCGGTGAACATGGGGTGAGTGTCGCAGGCTGTGGGGCTGGGGAGGCGTTGAGGTCTGGCTTCACTGTCCAAAGCTCAAGGCTCCGGCTGAGCCCGGGCCTGGGCCTCCTGTGCCCCCTGGTCTGAGCCGGCCTGCCCTCTTCTCAGCACTGCGTGCCCCTCAGCCCCCCACATCCAGCAGCCCCGAGCCGTGCCCTGGGTCCCGCCCAGCTCTGAGGACTGAGGGACCCGACCCGAGGCTGGGGAGAGGGAAGGCTCCTCTCGGGAAAGTGAGGGCTTCTTCTTGCCTGGAAGGGTCTGGTCTGAGAGGGGAGGCGGCCCCCCAGGCTGAGCGGGGAGGGGGTCCCTTCCCTGGGGAGCTCCTGCCCTGACGGGGAAGATGGACACACACATACTTGGAGAAAACAAGGGGCCCACAGCAGGAACATGGGAACACACCTTGACGTGGAGGGGACTGGAGTGGAGCTACGAGCTGATTCACCCCTCACCTGGCCATGTTTAGGTGTCTAGCAGGATCCAGGCGAGCCTGGACATAAAAGGTGTCACACAGAAAGGAGCAGGGCTGCCCAGGAGCTTAACGCCCCTCCCCAGAGCTGGAGGGGTCTGATTGCCTCGGGCATCCTCCCCTGTCGGGCAGGGGAGCAGGCCCTGTGTCCACGTGCCTTGAACCGGTCCCAGGGACTCCCACCCCGGCCACCCCTGCTCCCATTTCACCCTCCTCCTCTGGCCCAGGGGGGAGCAGTGCGGTGGCTGTCGGAGGTCCAACACCACGGATCGGCCCCACGCCTTCCAGGTCATCCTTGCAGACCGGCCCTGCCTGGAGCTGAGCGCCGAGAGCGAGGCTGAGATGGCCGACTGGATGCAGCACCTCTGCCAGGCCGTGTCCAAGGGGGTGAGCTGCCCCTGCTGCCCCTGCCGCCCCCACCCCAGGCCCCTTGCCCACATCCACACCAGTCATGGAGCAGCCTGTGAGGACCGAGAGAGGGAGAGCCCAGGAGCAGACCCTGCACCGCAGGGCCACCTGCGGCCTGGAACGCTCACTGTCACCCATACTCCCAGCCGTAGCCCAGAGTGGGCGGAGCCTGCCTGACTTCTCGAGGGTGGGGCGTAAGGGCTGGCTGGGCGCCTGGGGTGGGGAGGTCTGGTGCAGACCAGCACTGGGGCTCCAGCTTGCTTCTCCCGGCCCCTCTGCCAACGCCCTTCAGGTCATCCCCCAGGGGGTGTCCCCCAGTCCCTGCATCCCCTGCTGCCTGGTGATCACCGATGACCGCCTTTTCACATGCCATGAGGATTGCCAGACCAGCTTCTTCCGCTCCCTGGGCACAGCCGAGCTGGCCGACATCAGCGCCATCTGCACAGAACCGGGCAGGGAGTACTGTGTCTTGGTGAGCTGGGTGGGTGGCAGCGGAGGCAGGTCGGGACAGGGAGCCCCATGTCTGCTCACCAGAGCCCTGCTCTCCCCAGGAGTTCTCCCGGGACAGCCAGCAGCCCCTCCCACCCTGGGTCATCTACTTGAGCTGCACATCTGAACTGGACCGATTCCTGTCTGCACTGAACTCTGGGTGGAGAACCATCTACCAGGTACCTGGCTGCCCAGGGTCCTGCAGAGCGGAGCCGTTCCCTGAGGAAAGGAGGCCTGCGTGGCACAGACGGCGGCAGGGGTTGGGGGCCTGGGGACAGCCCCGTACCTGCAGCTCCAGGACAGACACGAACATTTAGGACCGAGGGGCAGCCCTGGCTACTCCGAGTCTGAGACTAAGCTGGAAATGGAACCCAGGAAACACCATCCCCACCCGTCTGGGTTTCAGTCCAAAAGCACCGATTACGTGCTTTTGGTGAGGTGGAGGCGGAGAGCCATTCCGGGTAGGCAGGACACATTCAGGTACAGAGGCAGCTGAAGCACAGGGCCTGCCATGGGGGGGCCCTGCTGAGAGACTGGGCCTTCCCCAGAAGGAGGAGGCCCAGCCATCACCCTGTGGTCCGCTGGAGCCCCTCCTTGAAAGGCAGGAGTTTAGCAGGCGGCACGGCCACACCTGGTGCAGAGGGTCCCCTCGGCCCTCACAGGTTCCCTGCTCCCCGACGCAGGTGGACCTCCCCCACAAGGCCATCCAGGAAGCCTCCAGCAAGAAGTTCGAGGATGCCCTGAGCCTCATCCACAGCGCGTGGCAGCGCAGCGACAGCCTGTGCCGCGGCAGAGCCTCCCGGGACCCCTGGTGCTGAGGTGGAGCTGCTGGAGTCCCGGGGCAGCACCGGGAGGCACGGAGCAGTGTGCACTGTGCACTCTCGTCACTGTCACCGTGTCAGCGTGCGGCTCGGGGCCGGGCTTCTGCCCGCCCCTCAGTCGGCTCCCACCCTGGGCCGCAGAAGCAACAAATGGAGCTTGAGACAGGGTCTGCCTTCTCCCAGGGGTCCCAAGGGGATGCTCAACAGCCCTGGGCACCCTGCCCAGCAGGTGGGCGCTGGAAAGTGCCGGGGGCAGAGGGTCTGAGCCCCATGGGCTCTGTGGGTATACGGCCGCCTCCCCAGGGCCCTGGCCTTAGCCCACTCCATCTCTTCAGGATGACGATGAGAATAATACTAACTCTGAGGGGAGCAGAAGGGCAGGGAGGGCAGGAGTCCCTTCTTCCTCCCCTGGGCCAGGGGCCCGCACCAAGGCTCAGGCTGCCCCGGGGGCCCAGAGCGCCCGGCCGTCCTTGTTCGTGGTCGGGCATCGACCTGGTAGTGCAGGGAAGCTGGAACACGGAGATCTTAGTGCATGTCTTCTCCCGGCTGGCTCCATCCCCTGGTGCGCTGCTGCCTGCCTGCCGGGCCGGAGCCGGCCGCACTGGCCCTCCCTGGCTTCAGGAGGCCCTGCATGCCCGTGGTCCCTGCCCTGCCTCCCCTGAACTTGGTAGTGCCCGAGGACCCAGGAGTCAGGCGTCTCCGTTCCCCTGGAGCAACGGCGAGGGAGAGGGCTTGGGGAGGAGCCGAGGGCACTGGCCTGGCGTCCGCGTCAGGGCCTTCTCGCTGTCCCCTGCTTGGCTAGAGCCAGGCCCTTCTCAAGAGCTTTCTCAAGGGCCCTCTGGGGGAAGGAGTCAGGTGGTCTGGGTTTTGTTTTTTAAAATAAAAAGATCTGTTATATTGCCAAGAATTGTCACTGGCCCTTTCTGACCAGGCTAGACGTGGGGGATCGTCAGCCCTTCCTCTCAGGCCCCTTGGCCCGTCATTCTCATTCCACAGATGTGCCATCAGCTGCCCCCCTCCCCACCCGCCCACACACACACACACACACACACACACACACACTGAGAACCAGATCCCTGTGGCCCTGCCCAGGGCACTTGCCACCTGGAGGAGCACGGGCCTGACCTTTGCCCCGCCTCCTGTTAACTGCAGTGGCAGGTGTGGAGCACCTCCGCCCTGCAGTGGCCTCCCCCACCAGGGCAGGACCCTCCCTCCTGCCCAGCTCTTGCGGGAAATGCCAGCCACTTCAGATGAACCCAGAAGAGTTCAAGCTGTTCCTAAAGCTCCTTGTTGAGCTGCTGCCTGGGGGGCTGGCCAGAGGATGCCAAGCCTACCAGGCGGGGGGTGGGGGGGGGTGCAGCACCATGACCTTCAGGGCCTCACACCTGGGAGGAAAGGGGTAAACTCTGGAAGAGGTGGGTGTGGGGCCTGCAGAGGTGGGTTCTGGGCAGGCGGCTCTGCGAGTCCTGATGCACTGTGACCCTGGCCGGAGAGAGCTGCTCTGGGGGCCAAGGCCAAGGTGGGCTGGGTGGTGCCGGCCCCTAGTCAGAGCAGCCTGGTTCTGGCCGCAGTGCCCAGGGGTGGAAGGTCCGCGTCCACCAGACACAAAGGGCCATTTCCACGCCTGGGGCTCTCCTTCAGAAAGCCACACCCTGGAGGTGCTCCCACTGGCAGGAGGGTGGTGCTGACGGACAAGTTCTTGGCAGGTAAACGACCAACGTCACTGGTCACTCCTTGAGAAACGAGGAGCCTTATTTTTCCATCTCCTACTCACCCAGGGGACACCCAGGCAGGGCAGATGTGGCCCCCTTTTCTTGGGTGCTCTTCACATATCTCTCTAACCCTCCAAAGAAGCTCTGAAGTGGGTCCCGAGATCCCAGGTTTACAGCTGGAGAGGCGAGCTCAGAGAGGAAGTGGTTTGCTCAGGTCACAGAGCACAGCCTAGGAGTCAAGATCAGACACCCCCCCACCCCCGCCTCTGTTCCCAGGGACAGTGGGAGCACAGACTGGGGCAGCCAGATTGAAGGTGGAGATGGGGGGTGGGGGGGCCCCAGAAAGGGGGCATCACAGAGATAGTGGCAGAGGTGGGCGTGGGGCAGTTGCTGAGTTGCCTGGGCATGTTGAGGCCAAGAGCCTACCAGGGCAAGTTGCCCAGGGCTCTCTGAGCTATAGCATCACTGGCTGAGCCAAAGCTGTGGCAGGAGCACCAACCCTTTGCCCCAGGGCCAGAGGGAGGGCCAGAGGGAGGGCCAGAAGGAGGAGTCTCGGGTGACTCCCACCTTCCCTCCGCTCCTAATCTCTCCCTCTGGTCCTAGGTGACCTTTCCCCCAGATCCCAGGGTCTAGGCCCATCCCCACAGGGAGCTGTGGAGAACAAAGGCAGCTGGGATTGGTCAGACACCGTGGGGGTGTGTCCCAGGCACCAACAGCTCTGGCTGCTAAGTGGAGCAGGTGGACTCTAGGAAAGATCAGGAGCTGCCTGAGCAGCCGAAGGGGCTGCTCCCACCAGACCCCTGCCCTCTAGACATGTCCCCAGGACCCCTTGATCCCCACCCCTGTGGTCCTTCAGGGGTAAAGTCAGACTAAGCGCCACCATCCTAGGGCTGGTGCCATGCCCCGGCCCCGGGCACAGCTGGCCGCTGGCTCGGAGGACATGGAAACAGTTGCCCCAGCTGTGGACCTGGTGCTGGGGGCCTCAGCCTGTTGCCTGGCCTGCATCTTCACCAACCCCCTGGAAGTGGTGAAGACGCGGCTGCAGCTGCAGGGGGAGCTGCAGGCCCCAGGCACCTACCACCGGCCCTACCGGGGCTTGGTGGCCTCAGTAGCCGCTGTGGCCAGAACAGATGGACTGTGTGGCTTGCAGAAGGGGCTGGCCGCCAGCCTCCTCTACCAGGGCCTCATGAACAGCGTCCGCTTCTACTGCTATAGCCTGGCCTGCCAGGCTGGCCTCACCCAGCAGCCAGGTGGCACCGTGGTGGCAGGAGCTGTGGCTGGGGCACTGGGAGCCTTCGTGGGGAGTCCTGCTTACTTGGTGAGTGCCTTGTCCCCATCTGCCTCCATCCCGGGACCCCGCTCCCTCCCCGGCTCTGAAACTTCCCGGGCTGGCCTCAGTGGTCAGGTGGGGTGGGGCAGGCTGGGTGGGGCTGCTCCCTGGAACATCCCTGTCCAGGCTGCGGTCAGCCCCAGGGCAGCGTGACCTTGGCCCATCCTCGCTCCCCTGGGGTCCCTGCCCTGCAGATCCGGAGCCAGGGTAGGTGCAGAGGGTAGCAGTTGTGCCGGCTCAAACCCAAGTAGGCACCCATATGGCTCCTGCAAGTCCAGAATAAAGCTTCCACTGAGCCAGGGCCCCAGTGCCAGGCTGGATGCATGACCATTGTTGCCTCTCTTAGTCCACAAAACAGCTTTTCAAAGGTAAGCAGACAAGTTAAGCAGCTTGCCCCAGGGTATACAAGGTGCAGGACTAGGCCAGCTCTGGAGACTGCCCCTGACCCTGTTTCACACGCCCCCTAAGCTCATAGTTGGGCTCATAGAGTCGTAGGTGCTGAGTGTGCTGCTCCCCGAAACATCCTGGCCCAGGCCTGCAGTCTGGCCCAGGGCACCAGGGAAGAGTGCCCTCCACACACAAGCTCAGCCGGTCTCTGCAAGGCTCCGGCCCTCAGCCCCCTGTCACCTCTGCTCTCACAGGTCAAAACGCAGCTGCAGGCCCAGACGGTGGCTGGGATAGCAGTGGGGCACCAGCACCACCACCAGGTGGGACTGTCACTTCCCAGAGCTCCCTGGGCTGGGTGGGCTCCTGAGCTGGCAGGGGCCACTCAGTGACCCTGTGCCCTCTCCCCACAGAGCGTCCTGGGCGCCTTGGAGACCATCTGGCGGCAGCAGGGCCTGGTGGGGCTGTGGCGGGGTGTGGGCGGGGCCGTGCCCCGAGTCATGGTTGGCTCGGCTGCCCAGCTGGCTACCTTCGCCTCTGCCAAGGCCTGGGTGCAGGAGCGGCAGGTGAGGGGCCAGGGACACCTGGGCCCAGTCCAGTTGGACCCTCACACAGGAAATCCTAAGGGATGGTCACAGACAGGGCCCCTGAAGACCCCTGGGCCCAGCAGGAGTGGGGATCAGCAGCGAACCCTGAAGCTGTAAAGGAACTTGGGGTGGGGGAGGTGTAGGGTGGGAAATGGCCGGGGTGTGGGGGCCTTGTCTGTTCCCCTTCTCCCAGCTCTTCCCACCCCCAGGTGGTGGGACATGGGTGGAGGGCAGCTGCAGGGGTCAGCAGCTGTCCCATCCCCACAGTGGCTCCCGGAAGACAGCTGGCTGGTGGCACTGGTCGGAGGCATGATCAGCAGCGTGGCTGTGGTTGCTGCCATGACCCCCTTCGATGTGGTCAGCACTCGGCTATACAACCAGCCCGTGGATGGAGCTGGCCGGGTGAGCGGGGGACTGGGTGGCGAGGATGTGGGGCGCTGGAGAGCACCCTGACCAACCTCCACTCGTGGCCAGATACACACAGACAGGTGATGCTCAGGCAAACGTATTCATTCAGCTTTGGCGCCCAGAACCTGTGTCCTGGGCAGGTGCTGAGCAGGCCCACAGTTGGATTGTTTGCCATTCTCACCACCAACTTCAACTTCCTGGAGGGGAAACGGAGGATCAGAGACCTCAGGTGACTTGTCTGAGGTCACCCAGATGGTCCGTGGAGGAGCCAGCACTGGGAACCAGGCCTGGCCCAGTGGCCTCCTGGGTGTGCACCTGCGGCACAGGCAGCAGTACTGTTGTGCCTGGCACACGGGCGCCCTCCACAGGCTGAGTGAGGGATGACACCCTCCTGCATGCCACTCACTACTCAAACTGAGCCCCGAGTTGTCTGAAGGAAGACTCTTTTGTAAATTTTGGGACATAAAGGGCCATCTTTCTGTAATTTGCCCGACTTGGGGCAGGGCCGCCTTTTCTGATGTGCTGCAGAAGCCCCTACAACCACCCCCTACTGTGCCAGCCAGGGCCCCAGGGCCCCTGCACTGACACCCACTCTGTGTCTGTCCCCAGGGCCAGCTGTACAGGGGCCTCTTGGACTGTTTGGTGAAGATCTGGCGGCAGGAGGGCCCTCTGGCGCTCTACAAGGGCCTGGGCCCCGCCTACCTGCGCCTGGGCCCCCACACCGTCCTCAGCATGTTCCTGTGGGACGAGCTCCGGAAACGGGCTAGACGGAGCCGGCGCCAGGACACCTAAGCCGCATCCCTCACCCCCCCCACCCCGATCCTGACACATCCCGTCACCCATTCCAGCTGGGAATGGCCACTGCAGAGCCAGCCACAGGCCCAGGCCTGGCTACCGGTCTGGGGGAAATGTGGGCAGCTGTAGTCCACCAGCCCCATGACCCAGCACCCTGCTCTGAATCCCCACCCACTCTCTTCTGCAGAGCGTTCTCCTCCCTCTGCTGTCTGGGGTCACCTTGTCCCCGAGTCTTGTTCATTGTTACACTAACCACTCCAGAGCATCTCTGCGAGCTGGGTCACTTACCCGCACCAGCACGCTTCATTCTGAAAGAGCAGCATGAAGTAATACAGTCCTCCTTGGCTGATGAGGAAGCCGAGGCGCAGAGGGTGCCTCGCTTTGACCACTGGAACTCAGCCCCACCCAGACCAGGACTGCGCCCTTGGCAAGGACCAGGACCCTGGGGGCTGGTGTGTCTCTGAGGGGTCACTGCACACGTGAGGAGGCCCCAAGGGCACCATGAGGCATGTCACCATCTGTGGTGGCTGCTGTAACAAAGTGCCCCAGACTAGGCGTCTGTAACAACAGAAAGTGTTTTCTCACCATTCTGGTAGCTGATGTCCAAATTTAAAGGGTCAGCAGGGTTGGTTTCTTTCGAGAACTTTCTCCTCGGCTTGCAGATGGCCAGCTTCTCTGTGTCCTTCCTTCTGTGCATGTCTGTGCCCTAATGCCCTCTTCTTATAAGGACACCAGTCATATTGGACTAAGGCCCACCCTGGCAACCTCATGTTCATTTAATCCCCTCTTTAAGGACCCAGGCTCCAACTAAGTCACATTCTGAGGACTGGGGCCTCGGACTTCATTACATGAATGGAGGGTTGGGAAACACAATTCAGGCCATCAAAAGCCAACAAAGGGCTTTTACTAAGGTCTTGCTAGGTGCCCAGCCCTGCGACAGACCCTTGTTACAACCATGAAAGGGAGCCCCCAAGGTGCCCGTTGTCCAGATGAGGAGACCAGTGCCAGGGCAGGGGTGCGACTTCCCCAAAGTGAGTAGCAGAGCTAGGCGTCCTCAACCTGGCCCTTTCCCCAAGCTGCAGCCACACTCCCCATGTGGGTGTGTCCCTTTGTGCTCACAGGTGGACACCCAAGTCCCTGGAAGAGGCGGGACTGGTCCAGGTCAAGCCGCCTGAACCACCTTCCTGCCAATACCCTGTGTCTTGGACAAGCTGCCCCCCAGGGGAACTCCTACCAACACTCCAGACCAATAAAGTTTTCTATTTTGTTTACTGCTACGACTCCCTTGTGCAGGTGGTCTCAGTCTCCCCCACCCTGAGCCCCTGCCACCTTGGCGCTCGACCTCAGTCTCCCCTTCCCCCAGGTTAAAACCTCCTTGGCCTCTTGCGACTGGGAAAGGAGGATCCAAAAGAATTGGGCAATCCAGCCCCACCCTGGAGGGCCAAGGGGAGGTCTGCCCCCTAGTGGACACAGAGAGGAGAGTAGCGGCAGGCTGCCCTGTGGCCGAGGGGTGGGGCCTGGAGCTGAATCCCAACCTCCCGCGGTGAGGGCGGGGTAAGCGCGACCCCTCCAGATATCTGGCTGAGAGTAGAGCCTGAAGGGGGGATAGGTGCCCCCTTCCAGATCCTGGGCTGAGAGCACAGAGCCCAGACCTGAGGCTGGGGGACAGTACCTGATGGAGGACAGACAAGGCCTGAGGCTTCAGGAAGCCACCGTGTGGGAAGCCCCAAGGAAGGGTGAGAAAGGCAGCACCAGACCGGAGCAGAGAGACAGAGACCAACCCCAGAGACGCCCTTCACCCCCTGCTGCCCAGAGTGGGAACACCCCGCAGCTGGCACGTTTAAGGCCCCTGGCTCTCCTCTCCTCCCTGCCTTCTCGGCTCTGGGCCTTTGACCCCTCCCTCCCTGCCTCACCTCCACTGACACCTTTGCCCTGTGACGTCAGGCTCTCCAGTGCAGACCTGGCCCGAGGCTGGGGCTGCCGCAGCGGGCGGCCATGTTCTCCCTGCTGTCCCCCACCTCCTGGCTCCCTGGCCTCTCCTCCCTCGAGTGGGGCTCAGGCCTCCTGCTCAACTCCCTCCTGCAAGGTGAGCACTGCCTCCCTGCACCCTCTGGGGCCTGCTCCCTGAAGTGCTGGATGGACCCCAACCCTAGGTCTCCCAGCACCCAGGCTGCCCCTCCCCTAACCCTACCAAGCACCCCTCCTTTCCCTCCACCCCTCAGGCCTCATCGGGGCCTGCGGAGTCTCCGTCCTGAACAACCTGCTGAAGGTTTACTTCTTCGTGGGCTGTGCCAAGTGAGTGCCCGCCTCCCAGCCCACTCCCAGCCCCTCTTAGGCCTCTGGGCCCCCAACTGTGACTCTAGCCTCTGAGAGAGGATTGGGGGCAAGAGAACGCTGTCCAGGAAGTGTGGCTGGGGGCCCCAGGACCCCTGCCAGGGCCCAGGCTGGTGGTTCTGCCCCTCTGCCTACGGCCACTCTCGCCACAGCAACCCAGAGCGGCAGCTGCAAAAGGAGAGGCTGCGGGCCCGGCGGACTTCTCTGGACACTGTGTACCTGACCGGACTGGCCCTGATCCTGACCGTCGTGGGGAACCGGGTGGCCTCCCTGGTGGCACTGGAGTTCTCCCTCCGGGCCGTCTCCACGCTCCTCTCCCTGGGCAAGGTGAGGCCACGGGAGGGGTGGTAGGTGTGCCCTGCCTGGCCTGGGCCCTGGTTTCCACCCCAAACACAGGAAGCCGGGTCCACTTGGAGCATCTCATCTCCTCCCTCGGTTGTGACCGCCAAGGCCAAGTCTCCACCCAGAGTAGACACGCCCCCAGTCCGAGAAGATGCTGGCGGCAGCTCCTGGAAGCCAAGGGCTTCCCACATGCTGGGAGCTGGAGTGCATCATCCCACTACCCTCTCAGCTGAGGGGGGGTTGAGGTTCCCGTGACCCGCCCTTTCACAGGTGCAAAACTAAGGCTTAGAGAGAGTACATGGCTTGTCTGTGGCCAACAACCCACAAGAAACAGAGTCAGGCTTTGAACCCAGGTCTTCAGGGCTCTGAGCCACCACCCTTCAGCAAGCACGTGAAATTAAGCTACAGGGAATGATCCCTTTAGGGCTTGACATGAAGGTGACATTCCCTCTGACGGGGGGAGATCCTCAGGGCTCCTTTGGGCTCCAGCCTCCTGCAGACCGAAGCATTTGTACTGTGACAGCCCCGGTGGTGAGGGGAGGCCGAGCCCCGCGAGCGCAACCCCTCTTCTGCCCCCTCCCCTGCCAGGGCTCCCGGAGCACCGAGAGGCTGCAGCTGTACCTGCTGTGCCAGTACTCGCTGGGCTGCGGGCTGACCTGCGGCCTGAGCTTCCTGCAGGAGGGCGCCGCTCACCGCACTCTGAACCTGCTGCTGGGCCTCGGGCTGGCTGTGCTGCTTAGCACGGTCACCCAGCGCCTCCGCCGCCACGTCTGCTCTCTCTATGAGCTGCACAGCAGCCAGCACTACTGCGGGGTTTGCCTGGGCCTGCTGGCCAGCGCGCATGGCCTCCCCCGGCTGCTGGGCCGCATCCTGGCCGTGGCCTTTGGTGTGGGTGACCTGGCGGCCGTGGCCCTCATCAATCAGGACTTCCTGACCACCTCGGAAGCTGTGCGCTTCTGGACGCCGCTCACCATCTGCTACACCCTGCTGGTCATCTACATGCAAGGTAATGGCCACAGTCGGGGTCCTGGGCATTTGCTATACGTTAGCATCCTGCTTTCTGACCCCAAGGAGGCTGGCAAGGGATGACCCCATCCCTGTCATCCCAGCATGTGTGGCATGGTGACAGAGGCCATTTGGTAGGTGAGGCAGCTCAGAGAAGGGTGCAGTATGCAGTGGGAAGACTGAGCAGATAGTTCTGGAATTGGACCTTGAAGGGTAAGCCAGGGCCCTCTGAGATGTGATGGGGGCACATGACCTTGCATGCCAAGTTCAGAGTTGAGAAAGAGACTGGCAGCCTTGAACAACTGAGAATAGCTGAGTGTAGCTGTCACCCCAAGAAGGGCTGAGTGGATGAGGTGCATGGGGGCCTGATGGAGAGTCCCCGTGGGCCAGGCTGGGGAGAACCATAGAAAGCCATTGCAGGGTTTTAAGCAGGAGAGGGTGACCCAGTCAGATCTGGGCCCTAGGAAGAGCCACCTGGCTGCAGAGTGAGAATGAGGTGGGCAGAGTGACAGTGGCAGGAAAAGGAAGGGTGCTTAGGCAAAGAACAGCAGGTGCAAAGGCCCTGGGGTGGGCACGAACTTGGTGTGTTTGATGAACAGTAAGGAAACCGAGATGGCTGGGGGTTTGGGCAAAGGGGAACAAGCCAGGGGTCAGATGAGGCTGGAGAGCAGGCATCAGTCAAAGTGAGCAGGACCTCCCAGGGAGGGTAAGGAGTTTGGAGCTTGTCTCAAATGCAGCAGGAAAGGCTGGAGGATTACAAGCAGAAGAGTGATTTTTATCTCACTGATGTGTTTAGAAGGTCATTAGCTGTTGAGTAGACCACTTGAGTTATAGGGTCAAGAACAAGGAGCCAGGAGCCCAGCCAGGAGGCCAGGACCAGGTAGGGCAGTAGAGTGGGGAGGTGTGCGTGGGTGGGGTCTGTTTGGCGGAAAGAGTTGACAGGCCTCCTAGTGGATCAGACCTAGAACTGCAGGGGAGGAGCCAGGCCCATGCTGCAGCTGCAGGCGGGCAGCTCTGTCCGGAGGACAGGGCAGGCGGAGCACACCAGTGTGAGACTTGCAGGTGGGCAGTGAGGTGGGGAGGGAGAAGGGCCTGGTGCTCTGGGGGATACTGGCCAAGGGGGTGGTGCCAGAGGCAAGGAGGAGGGGCTGTCTGGGAGGGGAAGGCTCAACCTGGGGAGGGTCAGTGGGGGAGCTGGGAGGTCCAGCCCTGATCCAGCTGGACCTCAATTTGGGGCACTGGTTGTGGCAGGCAGGTGATGACAGGCATGTGTCCCCCACAGAGGAGCAGCGGCAGCACCCCCACCCTGGCCTGCAGAACCAGGTCCAGACGGTGCTGGTGCGCATGGGTGGCCTCTTCGTGCTGCTGCTGACCGTGGGCCGCTGGCTGGACCTCCTGGGTGTCCTCATCTCCCTGCTGGGCGAACTTTGGTGCCTGGTGGGCGTCCGCACTCTGCTTGACCTTTGCCAGATACAGGTGGGCACCCTCACCCCGTGCCTCCCCCAGACCCCCAGGCACCCTGTGCCTTGCCCCAGACAGCCATGGGAGCCTCAACGGGCTGAAGTTTAAGAAGAGCTGGGGTTCCCTCTCTCATCTGGCAATAACCTTTGACCTGTGCCCCAGAAGTCCCAAATGGGAGGATGGTCTTGGATAAATGGAGGCCTGAAGTGTCCCCCTGGAGAATGGGGCATCAGGGGGTGTCCTCCATCCTTTCCTCCCCACGTCCCCTCAGGACTTTCCATTCCAGAGGCCTTTGGTGTCACCTCCAAGCCAGCCCCGGCCCTCAGCACCTGCCCAGACCCAGGGGACGGCCCGCTCCTGACCCGCCTCGGAGAGGACTTGTAGTCTGACTCAAGCCCACACAGGCCCATCTGGAGGCCCGGACCCCCCAGCACGGTGTCTGGAGGCAGACCGGCAGGGTTGGCCCCACCTGGAACTTGAGGTGGGCACTGGAGCCCCCAAAATGGAGGGGAGGGCTGGGGCCCTCAGAAGGTGGGGGCCCCTGGAGGCCACCAGTTCATCCTCCTTTCCTCAGGGTGGGCAGAGGACATGCAGCCCCCCTAGACCTGCCGTCGGGGGAGGGGGAGGGGAGGGGCGCATCCTCAGAAGGGCTTCCCCCTTCCTGGCCTCCCTCACCCTCTCTGTGGACAATAAAGATGTTTTTCTCAACCTGAGCTTAGAATCGTGAGCAAACAGATTGGGAAAGGGGCTGTTCTGAGGCCACGTGGCTCTGCCAGCCCGGCAGGCTTCCGGGATACGTGTCAGGAGTCCCACCCTGAGATGGCTGAGGGGTGGCAAGGGGTGCGGTGGGGTGAATGCATGGCCTAGCGCCTACTTGTCCGGGGTGGACGGTGCCTGTCCTGCGCCATCCTAGGCTGAGACACAGCTGAAGGAAACGCAGTGCTGAAGTGGCCTCTGTGGGCGCCTAGTGCCCCCCGCAGGGCGCAGTTCGAGAGGCCACGGAGAGCACAGACGGAGGCTGGACGCCAGCCCCTCTGCTGGCCTGCCGTGTGCCGTGGGGGGCTGCCCGCCGTGTGCTGGGCACTGTCTGGGCCTTTGTATGACTCATTTCATTCTGACATCAGCCCCAAGAGGTAGGTACTGTTATCCCTTTATACAGATTCAGAAACTGAGTCTCAGAGAGGTTAAGTAACTCTCTCAAGGGCACACAGCTAGTTAGTGGCAGAGTCAGGATTTGCATCCAGGTGGCCTAAACCGCAGAGCTCAAGTGCTTTGCATGCTTCTTGCCCCCCTCTTCTTATAGAAGAATTGGGGCCAGGCGACCTCAGAGGTGAGCATGAAAAATACCAGTAATGGAAATACAATGTCCATTACTGGCAGGTTCTGGAACGTGGTTCTGGCCACCTTTTGTCCAGTGTAGCCCGAAGCTCCATCACGGTCATGTTCTCCTGGCCCAGACACCCAGCTCCCCTGGGTACCTTGCTTCCTATGAGGATTGGGCTGGAGCTTTTTCCCAGGAGGGTCCCCCTGGGGCAAAGGACCACCAGCCAGGGGCCTTCCGAGGGGCTGTGAGGGCCAGGCTGTTTGAGGGGCAGGGGAGGCACCAGGGAGGAGGTGAAGGCTGGAGAATGTTCTGGAGAATTCCAGGCTCCTGTGGGCCTCACTCCCAGCAAAGACCGCCAGGTCCGCCCGCAGGCCGCTTCAGGGCAGAAGAGCGTGGCGAGGAGTTCGCACGCCCTGCGCAGAACACCTGGGAGGTGGGCAGGCTGGCCCAAGGCTGGGCGGGGCGGTGTCCGCTGACCGCTCCAGGAGTGGCCACCCCACTGATGGCTTGAGCCCCCCCCTCTGGTCCCCTGATCTCTCCTACCCCAAGGAGGGCCTCTCGGCCTCAGAGTAGCAGAGGTGGGGGATATTGTGTGTCCCCCACCCCAATACAGGACCCAGCCCCTCATCTGCCTGGGAGCGCAGTCCGTTCCCTCTGGGCAGGAAACTTGCCCCAGTCTGGGAGGAAACGACTCAGTGAGGAGGGCACAGGGCCAGACCGGCCAGACCCAGACTGGGCACCAGGTTCCAACTGTTCTAATATTTTTGCTGGAAGGTTCCCTGGCCTTCTGGCCCCCACATAGCCTAGGACCCCGTGGGGACAGGGTCGAGAGGGATGGGACTCAGCAGTCCTTTCCTTTTTATGGGCACAGGGACCATTTTCCAAACAAAATCTGGGGCACATGGGCTGCAGTAGGATTCTTTTCTTATCTATTAAACTATTTTTGTGTAAAAATTAGATCACTCTGAGTGAGGCATTTAGCAAACCTCCACACCAAACAAAGAGAAAGGGCAGAGGAAATCCAAACAGTACGGTCTGGAGCAGGGGCCTGGCTCTGGGCCGGGTCCCCCAGACAGCACAAGAGCTCGCCTCCTGGGCCCTGACCCGCGTCCGTCTGAAGAGGTGGATGAAGACCAGTGCGTCCAGTCCCTGCTAAGGGGGCATGAGGGAAACCTCCGGGGCATCTGTCGTTGCAGTGAGCCAGCCCCCTCCTTCCTGAGCCCCCACTCCTGGCTTTTCTGAGCTATGACAGTGTCCCTCTGGGTGTCTTGCACTATTTGCTCCGCTCATTCACAAGTGACGACTGAGCAGAGGTGGGCAGGGGCCACGTCACTCAGGGCCACGGAGGGGGTGAGGGTTTTCGTCCCCACGATGGGCAGCCAACTGAGGGTTTGCAGAAGAGGTGACGTAATGTGACTTACAAAGGGGGGACCCCAAAAAAGGAAATTTATGTATAAAAAATTGTGTTTATTCTCCCATGTTTAAACTTCAGTCACCTTCAGAGTATTCTGCGTTGGATGCAATACACCTATCGAAACGTTTTTTCCACCACTCAAAACAGTTTTTAAACTTGTTGATTTTGATGCCTTTTAGTGCTTCTGCCATTTTTTTGTTTCGCCTCTTCTACATTGGCAGAGAGGTTTCCCTTTGAGGACTTTTTCATCAGGGAAACAAAAAAAAAAAGTCACTCGGGACAAGATCAGGTGAATAGGGAGGGTAGGGCGTGGGGTGATGCCATTTTGGTCAAAAACTGCTGAACACTGGGCATGGTGCGGACAGATGTGCTTGTAAATCACCCACATGAAATGGGCAAATGCGTTGAAAGAGTCTTTAAAAAAAAATTCACTGAAGCCAAACACAGCCTCTCACAACAACACCAGCTGGTACAGATACAGGTGGCTTCCTAGAACACTCACCTAGCAGGGGAAGCCTGTACTATGGGGGCCTGCCGTCCAGGAGGTAAGTGGTGTTTTTGGAGTCCCCCCTCACATATGAATTTGTATTATGTGTCGATTGCCTCCACCTTCCTATATGCTCCAGGGGGACAAGGACTGTGTCTAACCTGACTTCTGTGAGGTCCTTGGCTTTTGCCTAGCACACAGTAGGTGCCCAGTCAATGATTATTGGGTCACAGCCCTCCCCCTACTGTTGGCAGCAGGTGACAGCTTCCCGACAGTCTGTTTGGGCCGCAGCAAATGTCCCCAGGGGTCTGATCTCACCTCCAGACACCTCTCCCACCGGGGTCTCTGCTGCCTGAACCCTATTAGAAGCTCGAGCCCTCACTCAGTCACTTGGCAGAAAGCTGGTCTGAGGCTGGGAGGGAGGGAGGAGCAGAGCAGGGCCTCTGGCGGACAAAGGGCGTGTGTTCTCGTTCAGCGCACTTCCTGGGTTTCCATTGCAGGAAGCTTGGCGCCTGCCGAGGTGACACTGACACCTGGAGTGGTGCGGGAGACCCTTGGCCAGGACGCTCCCCCCTACCTGGGAGCAGCGGCGGAGGTGAGACAGGTGGCCAGGGGTGCTGGGTGGCAGGTCCCCACAGTCCTCATTGACATTTCCCCGTCCCAAGCCAGTCTTAGCCCAGAGCAGATGCCTGGGTCCCAGATGGAGTCTTTGTGACCTTGGACAAGGCCTCAGGTCAGCTCTTTGATGCCTTATTGTCCCACCTTGGGGTGCAGTGAGGTGGCTTGGGGAATATCTTGGAGGTGAGGGAGAGCAGCTATATTTTTCTGTTTGTTTGTTTTAATGCTCACCTGAGGTTCTGTTTATTGGTTAGAGAGAGAGAAACATTGATATGAGAGAGAAAACATCCACTGGTTGCCTCCAGTATGTGCGCTGACCAGGGATCGAACCTGCAACCTTTTGGTGCACGGACTGATGCTCCAGACAACCGAGCATCCCAGCTGGGGCTGCACTTTTCTGTTTCAAATGAGCTTTTGGGTCACAGAGCACTTGAAAAGGGATTTCACCAGCAAAAGCGTCGGAGAACCCCTGGGTCGCACCTTTCTCCTCCCCTCATTCCAGTCTCCTTGCCCCTCGGGGAGATGCAGAGAAGTCTCGCTCCCACGTTGGAGGCGTTGCTGACCAGCCAGGACTGAGCCCGGCCAGGGCTCAGGCAGCTGTGAGTGCAATTCTCCCTCGGCTCTCCAAGCCTCAGCTTCCCAATCCGAAGGCTGGTGGGCAGTCTCACGGCCCCTGGGGCACAGAGCAGTGCCCAGGGCTACTGGCCTGGGTTTGAATCCAGGTCTGGGCCTCAGTTTCCTCATCTGAGAAACAAGAGTAACCAGCTCCGCCGCACAGGGCCCTCCTGGGGATCAAATGGAAAGGAAGCCTGTAGGCCAGATGCCCGCCGATAGGAACCCTGTAGGTTGCCGCTGCTATTGCGGAGTGGTCGCTCCCTTGAGCCTGCCCGCCTGCCCGCACTGCCCGCACTGCCCCAGAGAAATGCATGAACCGGAGAAAAGACAAATCGCTCACACTGAACTGGTCAATACAGAGATGGAAGCTTATGCTTTAAAAACCCAGCTCCCCAGTGGCATGTAGATTACAGGTTACACAGGTTAGAATCACAAGACACCGTGGGTTGGGGGCATGGGGTCATGCTGGGAACTGTTCGGAGGTGAGAGTAATAAATCACTCCTTCAGGTCTGGAGGTCAGTTCTGAGGTCTTTTCCTGCGTTTCTGTCTGGTCTCATGGGAAAGTAGCTGGAGGGGTGGTTCCACCTCGGCTCAGGTGCTGAAGCACAACTCAGGGCAGGATGTCCCTGGCGTGCAGAGGTCTCGACTCTGTGACCGTTAGGTCCTGGCTACTACCTTCTGCTACCTCCGGGGTTGCATGCGTGTGTGTGTGTGTGTGTGTGTGTGTGTGTGTGTGTGTGTGTGTGTAGAGAGAGAGAAGGATGATTTCTAGAGCTAGGATTTAAAACTAAATTCAATCGAGGTCATCAGTGACCCTGTTTCAGCCGTGATGATCACACGAAACACGTATGACCAAAAGTGGGTGAGAGATTTAGGGTGGTGGCAGGAGGGGTGGAGGAGCCTGGGACACGGTTCCAGGCACCCCCCCTTACAAGCCCATGAGTGTGAGCCCCTCAAGAGCCGCCCTGGCCAGGGTGACTGCAGCGCTGGGCCCACAGCAGGGCCTGCCCCCCTCCCGCCCCCCCCCCCAGATGGCGCTGGGTCCAAGTGCTCCACTGGCCTCAGCCACCGTGGCTTTAATCAAAAGAACAATCTGTTTGCCTCTGAATCAGACCCAGATTCCCTTTCCCAGCAATGCTCCGGAGGCCTCCTGGGACTCAGGCGGCCCATCCCGGCTCCATCTCCTGCTCCAGGGCCGGGGCTCAGCTTCCCCTCCCAACTCCATTAACCAGCTACTCCAGCTTGGGGGAGGGTGTGCAGGAGGTGGGAGGGGGTCCTCAGCAGGTGATGCGGTGGCCACTGGGCCCTGTCTCCCCGGACCCTGGGACCCAGCTGCAGAGGGCTTGAGTCCAGACAGGTAGTGACAGCTCAAGACAGCAAATCCAGGTGACCTGCTTCACTGGGGCACCCCGGAAAAAGCCCCGAGCCCAGCCTACGTGGACCACTCCTTGCGTTCTCCCGGCCGCATCTTCTATTCTCAGGCAGACCCCGACGGGAAGGCAGCCACGCCCGGGTTTTGTAGACAAAGAAACTGAGGCTCCGGAAGATGGAGTGACTGCCGGGGTCTCTGGGGTTAGTGACGGGCCGTGGAACCCAGACCCACCTGACTCTGGGGAATTCCAGGCCAGGCTGAGGTGTAAGCACCCCCTCCACCAGACAGGGCAGGTAGGACCACCAACCCAAGTGATCTATGGGTGGGGAAGGGTGAGGACCACTCAGGGTGCACAAAGGCCCCGGGGGTGCGGGCAGAGGGGCAGGCCTCCCTCCCTCCAGGTCTGGGCCGGGGTGGGAGGAGGGGTCGAGGAAACAAAGGGAGGGGGAGGGGGCGGCGCGGGGCGCGGCCAGCCAGGTGGGGGGGCAGGTAGGGGGCCGCTTCCGCCCGACGGGAGTCCCGGGCCCCCTCCCCCAAGCCTCACCTTTTATGGTAAGGCGGCCGGGGCGCGGGGCGGAGGGAGCCAGGGGGCGGGGAGGGCGGCGGGCGGGAGGCGCGCGCTGCTCCGGCTCTGCTCGCTCGGGCGTCGGACCGGACCGGCCCGAACGCAGGAGGCCCAGGTAAGCTGGGCGGCGGGGGCGGGTCCTGTCCTTCCGTCCTTCCGTCCTTGCCCCGGGTACACACAGGTGACAAACCGGCAGTCCCCGGCCGGAGGCCACCCCGCCCCCAGCCGGGACCCCAGCCCCGGCGCTCCTGAAGGGGTCCTGCGGCACCCGGGGCGGGGGGAGGTGCCTGCGAGACCCGGGGGCGCTGTCTTTCCGTCCCAGCAACTCGGTCACAGTCCCGGAGTCCGGGGACGGCTAGTGTCCCTGCCCCGTGCGGGGCGCCAGGGCAGGGGGAGGCAGGGCGGAAGCTCCCGCACAAAGAGGACAGCGTCCCGCACATGGATCGAATTAAAGTCCCCGGCAGCGCCCCACGGTGACCCGGCGAGTGCCCTGCTTGGCTGCTCGCGGGAGGGCGCCGGGTTTCCGGAGACCTCGGGCCCCTTTATCCAGCCGGGCTCCGGCGAGGGGAGGGGAAGAGCTTCAGGACAGTCCCTCTTAGTCCCCGTCGGGGGCTGGGAAGGGGTGAGGCCGGGCCAGCCCCAAGGTGTGTGCGTCTTGGCACGGGTCCCCTGAGGATCCCGGGAAGGGGCTGGGCAGCTTTAGATTCGTTCCCGCATAATGAGGGAAGCGAAGTCCTAGTCCCCCTAGTCCCCCCAGGAGCCCACGCCCCAGGGGCTCCTGCTCCCACTTCGGGGCTGAAGAACCAGCTGGCCTTCTCTTGGCCCTAAGCACCAAGGTCTTCTGCACTTTCTTTCCTCTTGTCCCCTTAGCCAGCCACCCTTTAGGACAGACCTCAGTATTCTCACTTTATTTAAAAAACAACAACTGAAGCCCAGAGAGGTTCAGTGACCTGCTCCGGGTCACTCAGCAGGAAAGAGAGGTGGGGCCTGTGCGAACCCAGCTGGATGCGCTTCCTCCCCTTCCTGGGGTGAGCGAGAGGAAGGGGAAGCCCTGCCTGAGGCTGCAAGGGTCCTTGCAGGGGGTAAGGGGTGCAATCCCACCCCCACCTCTAGCAAAGTTTAATTCTGAACGGAGCAGAGGCTGCTTGGCCAGAGTGTCAAAGAACAAAGCTCAGAGGCCTTTCCAGAGTTTTTGGAAGGGGTGAGGAACAGGACATGGGGGGGGGGCAGGGAGGGGGCATGCAGGGGGCACTGCCCGGAGCCCCTGGAAGCCCTGCCCTGGGCTGCAGCCCAAAGCCGGGCTGGGTGGGTAGTTGCTGGATCCTGGCCTCCTTCCTTCCTCTTGACAGGAAGTGACTTTCCTTCCCTTTGTTCCCACTTTCTCTGCTTACCCGCCTGGATATCAGATTCACCCTCTGGGAGAGGAAGGATGGGGGTGGAGGGGCCCTGGGCACCGCTGCCTGAATCGCTGCCCACAGGGAGCTCTTGCACATGAACCCCTCTCCAGGGTGACAGGAGGTGGGGGCAGTGGGACCAGCGCAGCCTCCCTTTCCCTCCGGGGCCTGGCTGACCTGACTGCCCAGGCTTTGCAAGTCCCCAGCCAGGCCCCTTCCCCTGGGGCCTGAAGTCCCAACAGAAACCGCAGGAAGTCGGGGGGGGGGGGGTGTTGCCCAGCTGTGAACATCTGGCCTCAGCACTGGGACCTTTGCCTTGGATGTTTTCTGAGAAACCAGCAGATCCAACTTCCTGAAGGGGTGAGCTGGGGTGGAGTGGGGGTCAGGGTAGGGTGGGAGGAAGGCAGAGGTGTCATCCCCAGCAGTCTCTAGGGACGGCCCAGGGTGCACTGACCACAAGATAATCGGTCCAGATCGGGCCATTCTGGGGTGAGAACAAGTCCAAGAATTTGGGGGCGTGCCTGCGACCCGGGAAGGAAAAAGTGAGTCTCGCGTCCAGAAACACCTGGCCGACTCACCTTGGATGGTGATGGTGCTGATGGTGCTTAGTTAGAATCCCGAGTCTGCCACAGGTGGCCTGGGAAAGTCACTTAGCCTCTTGGGGCCTCACTGGCCCACCTGTGAAGTGGGGGCAGAACGGGCTGGGAGGGCTAGGTGAGTTCCGAGGACCAGAAGGCCCTGGGCACGGTGCCTGGAGCAGGGCAGTCGGGTCATCAGTAGCCCAGCGCCCCTGTGGTTTCTTGTATTGAAATCTCAGAGGCGCTCTGAGCATTGTTTACAGAAATAGATAATGGAGTTTGCAGCAAAGTATAAAACCAGAGGCTGTGACGGCCAATATACGCACGTGTGCTTCCTAACATCACTTACCACTTACGCAACAAGAAACAAAAGGGACGTGCTTAGAGGACTTTTGACGCTTTCTTCAATTACTGGTTCTGTTTTGGAATTGGTGTGTTTTCTTTAATTTTATTTATTTATTTTTAGAGAGAGGGGAAGGGAAGGAGAAAGAGGGAGAGAAATGTCAATGTGTGGTTGCCTCCTGGGTGTCCCCCGCTGGGAACTGGCCCGCAACCCAGGCATGTGTTCTGACTGGGAATCGAACTGGCAATCCTTTGGTTTGCAGCCCCTGCTCAATCCACTGAGCTACACCAGCCAGGGCTGGAATCAGTGTTTCTTTTATTGGCCTGAGTGATACATTTTAACCAAACATAAAAACGAACTTAAGGGAAATTTGTAAGCATGGATGTTGTTTTTGTTATTATTATTCTCTGTCTGTCACCAAGATTGCCCATGGTGGCTGGTTGGGGCTTCTTCATGCGGAGGGAGGCCTTGAGGTGGCCACTCGGGCTCCAAGTGCACCCTGGGGATCTGTTAGGACGCTCACCCCTGCCCACCTGCTTCTCCAGGTTCGCTCTCTGGGTCCCTATTTTCTCTCCTCCCCACGGACCTGCGGGCTGGGCTTTGGGGCCATGTCTCCGTGTCAGGGTGGGGGGGTGGCAAGGAGTGAGAGTGAGACAGAAAAGGGCACGCTTTCCCCTCTGGGTGCCCTGTGCTGGCTCCTGAGCTGAGTGTGGTTGACGCACCCCTCCCCATGGCCCTCCTCAGGCCCGAGGCCACCGTCCCCAGGAACCCCTGAGAGATGAAAACCGGGCTCTCCCTCGCTGGGCTGCTTGCTGCCTGCTCCCAGACCCAGGCCTTGATGCCTATGCTGAGAGCTGGCCCCTGGCGCACCAAAGTCCCAGGCACAGCTGATGGCACACGGCCACTTCTGGCGGGGGCAGGGGCGGGGCAGACATGGCGACAGTGAGACAGCCTGTCATCGCCCTGGAAGCAGACAACAGTCCCAGGGAAAGGGTCAGGAATCGGGGGGACTTCATGGAGGAGGGAATGTTTGAGCTGGACCTCTCAGGAAAAACCAAAGTTCACCTCGTGGCCGGGTGAGGCAGGAAAAACAGGCGCGGAGAACACTCCCAGACAGGTTAGGGAGAAAGAGGGTCGAGGAAGGGGGAATGGGCGAGGGCACTTTGGGACTCTGTTCTCCAGGTAGGAGGGAGCCAGGGAAGATTTTGAATGGAGGAGCAACAGTCAGCCTTACCCTCTAAAAAGACCGCTCCAGGGGTAGGGTGGGAGGCGGGACTGGAGCCCACTGAGGGTTTGGGCTGCAGTTCAGGAAATGGGGCAGAGTGAGTGATTCCAGCAGTGGAAACACGGACTGACCGGGCCTGGAGGCCGACTGTGGAGAAGAGGGCGCCGGCTGGCGGACTGGGCTGGAGAGGCCGCTGAGCCAAGCAGCCAGGAGACGGGCTCTGGGGTCAAATTGTGCTGCTGCATGACCCAAACAAGTGACTTCGTCACCTCTGTGCCTCAGTGTCCTCATCTGTAAGATGGGACAGCAATCGTGTCTCTCCCCCAGCGGTGCTGGGGGGATTTATGAGTTCATGGGCAGAAAGTGCTTAAGGTACAGAGTGGGTCTTGGGACATGGTAGCTTTGATTTTTCTGTCCCCTCTGCCCCCTGGAGGCCAGTCCCGACGCTCTCCCATGGAGGAGCTGTCCCAACCTTGGGGACTTAAGCTGTCTCCGGAGAATCGGGGTCCGAGGTGAGGGAGGTAACCTGGGGTGTGGCCCTGCTCGGGGCTGGAGCTAGAGGAGCTGCCCCTTCCTCACAGTCCTTGGTGGAAGGAAATGAATCATTTGTGGGGTGAGCGGGGCGGGGTTGCCCTTTGCTCCCCCATGTGTGCAGGTTCGGGGGAGGAGCAGGCAGGACTCTGGGTCCCACCTTGTAGCCAGGTCACCTGGTAAACAGTCACCCTCGCTGGAAGGACATTGCCAGCCCCTTTGTCAGCCAGGCTTGGTGTTGCTGGCTCAGTGGGGCAGCTGCCTCGTTAGGAGGAGGAAGGCTCCGTGCCCCAGGGAAGGGACTGCGGCCTCGGGGGAGCACACCCTGTGCCTTAGGCCCAAGTGCCACTCTGCCCGCAGCCCCACCAGGAGCCTCGGCCATGGCCTCAGAGCCTGAGAAGCGGGTCGCCTCCTCTGTCTTTATCACCTTGGCTCCCCCACGTCGAGATGCGGCTGCGGTTGAGGAAGTGAGACGGGCAGCTTGCGCGGCCCGGCCTGGCCGCCCCTGGGAGTCTCCTGCCGCCACGAAGGCACCTGGAGCTGGCTTGGCAGGGAGACCCGGCCCCTGGACACCCTCTGGCAGGGCTGCGGCCACAGTGCCAGCTGTCCCCACTCAGCTCTCCAATGGAGGTAAGAGACTGGGGACTGGGTGGGAGACCCAGGTGGGGGAAGCACTGAGGCAGGTGGTGGGGCGGGCTCTGAGATCATTCATTCATCCTTCACTCATTCATCAGACACCTACTATGTGCCGGGTAGACTGAAACCCACCTGCCCGGGTTTAAACCCTGGCTCCCACACTTCTCAGCTGCGTGACGTCAGCCACAGTTCCCTACTCTGATAACAGGGCACCTTCGTCAGAGGACTGTTCTGGGGGTCAGATGAGTTAGCACGGACGGTAGCCCAGCACCTGTCGTGTGGGACGCGTTAATTACCTGTGTGGTTGTTACTCTGGGCCAGACACTGGGGACGTGAACAAAGAGACAAAGTTTTCAGCCTGCATAAATCTTAGTGAGGAAAACAGATAATAAAAATATAAAGTATAAATCAGGAAGACAGTAGTGTGCTGTAGAGGAATAAAACAGCGAAGAGGTCAGAATGGCTTCTCCAAGAAGGTGACATTCAGCTAAGACCTGAATGACAGGGTGGAGCTTGAAGGACAGTGGGAAAGGGGAGCCCCGGGGCCCAGGCAGGGACGAATTTGGCCAGTCTGCAGGCGCGAGAGGTGACTGTTCCCTCCGGGCTCTGCTGTTCTCTGGCTGTGTGATCTTGGGTAAACTTCCTCCCTGGGTCTCCGCCTCTGCACAATGGAAATGTGGTTGTGTGTGATGCATTCATCACAGAATGGATGCTTCGCCTGTGACTGTTATTTTTTTAAAGATTTTATTTATTTATTTTTAGAGAGACGGGGAGAGAAATACCAATGTGTGGTTGACTCTCATGTGCCCCCTAGTGGGGACCTGGCCCGCAACCCAGGCACGTGCCCCAGTTGGGACTGGAAGGAGCGACCCTTTGGTTGGCAGCCCAGTGACTGTTCTATTACCTCGTGCCTGGTCTGAGCTGGCCCTGCTGCCATGTTGACAAGAGCCTTCCAATCCTCTCTCCCTGTAACTTCCATGGAAAGTCTCAGCTGTTGGATTGGGTGGCAGCAATGAAGGATGGTGTCAGGGACCTGAGGCAGGGGGACAGCTCACTGTCCATTGGGGCACCAGCTGGAACAAGGAGCCACTGGGGCACTGAGGGTGAGAGGCCAGCCCCGGATGGCAGCTGAGCCCCCAGAATCCCCCAGATGTCCAGTCAGTCATCCTGCTCGCCTAGGGCAGCCCTGTGCAGCCATCACCATGGAAACCACCTAGAGACCAATAGGAAATGCCAATGACGGAGGGCCAGAAGGAAGGGGCTGCATGTGCACACACAGGGGAGAATGTGGGTACTCGTGGGACGTGCGTCTTCATTATGATGCAGCCTCCTGGTCGATCTCCATCCTGACCACACACACTGAGGACACAGCCTTGTCCCGCTGCTTCTCCACATAGTCCTCCAGTGGGGGAAAAAGAGGTCCCTTTGGGTAGGAGAGGGAGCTCAAGAAGTACCATTTAGGTGCCCAAATTTCCTGGGTGTTTTCACAGGTTATCGGAATTATAGGCAGACCATCCCAGGAGTAGTGTGGTAACAAACCCGGACCTTCCTCGGGAAGGGGTGGCTTCTAAACAGTGAGTTAGAAGCCATTCTAACTCATTTTGCCCCCCAGCTGGGTTTACATGGGGTTCAGCCTTGCCGGAGCGAGCTGCCTTCTAAGTGAGCCCCCTGGTCACGAGTCTGGTCTGACTACAGAACACAAAGCGTCCCTGGGTCCCCGCCAGCTGCTGAAAGCCATCTCTACAGCAGGCTGTCATCTGATGCCTCTTCTGGCGCTTGTCCCCTGGGGAATTTACCCGCAGTTCTCCAGCCGTCACCCTGACGGAAGTCCCCACCTCTCCGGTGCCCCTCCCCCACTCCACACTTCGCAGGCACACTGCCCCACCTGTCTCTTATTTATAAGTCGGCTTTTCTCTGTGCTTCTGCCCAAGGGTCTGCTCGCCCTTCTCTGGCTCTCGGCCACCTGAACAGAATCATCCTCACTCTGCTTGGGCCCCTTCTGCACACCTGCCCCATGGCCTCCAGTGCCTGTCTTGAATCCCTGCCCTGACTGGCACCTGCCCGCCCGTCAGCCTATAGTCCAGAACCAAAGGCAGGTCCTGGGAGAGGCCTCGGTACCTGCTGCGTCTCCCACTCTGGTTCCTGACTCACGGCCGCTCCTCCGGAGCTCGGTTCTCACACTTCAGTAGCATCAGCACCCCTGGGGGCTTGTTCAGACGCAGCTGGTGGGGCCCCACCCTGGAGTCTCTGATTCAGCAGGTCTGTGGTGGGGCCCAAGACTTTGCATTTCTTATGTGTTTCCAGGTAGTGTTGCTGCTCTGGTCTGGGGGCCATACTTGGGGAGCTGTTGTTTAGTCCTAAGGCATTAGGTAGGTGAGACTTGAGGGGCAGAAGTTCTCAGTGTGGCCTTTGAACCAGCAGCACAGGGAACTTTTCAGAAGATGGAAGTTCTGGGAACTTACCCCACACCTGCTGCTGAATCAGCAGCTCCGGGGTGGGGCCGGGCCCTCTGCATTAGAACAAGTTTCCCGTCTGTACAGTCCCCTCAGCCCTTGGGAAAAAGAAGGGGGGTTCGTTATCTGCATGGAATGGACGGGAAACCTGAAACCCAGAGCGGTGCCCCAGTCAGTGAGCCGGGAATGCGACCAGAGCCCAGGTCTTCGGGGGCAGGGCCTCTGCCAGGGCACAGGGCAGCCTGACCTCAGGTGGACCTGGCCTACCCAGTGTGTTGGGGACAGCGGGTTGGTAGAGGACTCTGCGTCCTTTCTCCGAGGGCACTGTCAGCAGGGCTCACCCTCTGGTGGCAGTAACAGGATTGTCACAGTCGTCTACACAGCACCACACTACACAGGGCTTCTCTCCTGGCCCCCAGTCCCTTCTCCAGGGGAGCACGGAAGGGTGGTGGTTACCTAGATGTCAGTGTAGCCGGACAGGAGGCCTGGGGCTGAGGCAGGAGCTTGGTGATTGGCCAGCCGACCTGCTTCCAGCCTGCCAGGAACCCGGGAAAGGCTGTGCCCACGGACTAGCAGATGGTGACACCTCAGTGTCACTCCTGTCCTGCGTGTGTGCTCTTGGGTGTTTTGCGTGAGTGTGTGGTGGGGGGGGGGCTTTCAAACATACCCAGGAGTAGACAGAACAGTACAAGGAACGCTGTGTACTCCGTATCTACTTTCAACAATAAGTTTTGGCCACATTTGGCCTCCAGTGGCCTCCAGATTTTGGTTACATCTCTCTGCCTCTTCCTTTCTTCCCTTCCCTTCCCTTTCTTTCTAAGTATTTGAAGGGTTTTATTTTTAAAGAGAGGGGAATGGAGGGAGGGAGAAAGAAAGAAAGGGAGAAAAACATTGATTGGTTGCTTCTTGTATGGGCCCCAACCAGGGTATGAACCCTTAACCCAGGCATGTGCCTTGATTGGGAGTTGAAGCAGCAACCCTTTGGTTCACAGGCCTGCACTCAATCCACTCAGCTACACTAGCCAGGGCTCTTTTTTATTTTTATTTTTCTACATAACCACAATGTGAAACAAAATCAGCAGGAATACCTTATGATTACCTAATATACTACCCATAATTCATTTGCCCTGAATTGCCATAAAAATGTAACTGTTGGATTGTAGTGGAATGAATGAGCTACATTATGTCTTGTCTTCCCTTTGAGCTCCGTCATCCAGTGGAATTTTTAGCTTTTCCTCATCTGCAAAGTGAGGATTAAATGAGATGACTCATCCTTTGAATCAGGATCCAATAAGGTCTGTTTCAGCACTGCCCAATAAAAATGTATCGTGAGTCACCAATCAAGCCTCAGATGTAATTTAAAGCTGTCTAGCATCCACACTGAAAAAAGTAAAAAGAATTAAGTGGTATTGCTTTTCATAATAGGTCATGCAACCCAGTATATAAAAATGATCATTTTGGGATGTGATCATTATCTAAAAAGCTGATATTTACTTACTTTTAGAGGGAGGGGAAGAGAGGGAGAGAAACATCAATGTGTAGTTGCCTCTTGCACACCCCCTGCTGGGGACCTGGCCCACAGACATGAGCTGGCCTATGAACCTAGGCATGTGCCCTGACTGGGGATCAAACCAGCGACACTTTGGTTCATAGGCCGGCTCTCAATCCACTGAGCCACACCAGCCAGGGCTGAGCGTGGACTTTTCTTGTGCTCAATAGCCACCTGTGGCTGGTGGCAGCTTTGAATGACCGGACGAATATAGACAACATGTGGGATCCTTTTTCTCCAAAGTCTCTTAATTCCAAGTCTCTCAACTCCCCTGCCACTGACTTGTCACAGAAATGTGCTGATGTGACTCTTGGCTTCCTTGTGGTCTCATCCCACTTGTCCCTCTGTCTTCCAATTTTGTTATGAAAGGACGTTACGTCTAGGGACCTGCTTAGATTGTGTTTGGTTTGGGTTTACGTTTTGGGGCTGGTTTTGGTGAGAGTGTTTCAGAGCCGGTGCCTACAGCTCACTGCCACATAAGGTGAGTCCGAAGACCCCTGACGTCCGCTGAGTCAGTTGTAGGTTCAGGGGGGGCAGCCAGACCCTTCGTGGACAGTTCTGCATCAACCTGCTGAGGGTCATTGCCTGCGTCCATGATGTGGCTAGTGATGGTTCCCACACTGCAGTGGCTTCCGCACCACCTGAAGTACACATTCAAGTACACACTCTCGTACTTGTAGGGTGTCCTCTTCCTCCTCCCGCCCTGGATGGCGAGGACGTGCTCCCCGACCTGGACCTCCTCCCGCCTCCGCCGCCCCCACCGGCCTACCCGCCTCCGCCCAGCAACGAGGACGACGAGGACATGGCCCCTGCCCCGATGGGGGCATCACTCATTTCCGACTTAGAGCAGCTGCATCTGCCCCCGCCCCCGCCCCCACCACAGGTACTGTGAACCACCTTTAATCCTCTACCCTTAGTACCAGAGGCCACTGTAGAAATGGGAGGAACTCCAGGCCAAGGGAAACCCTGGGTCCAGCAGCTTCCTTACAAGTAGAAAGAAGTAGCTTTGACTGGTCGAAGGAACACAGACCGGGAGCTGGGAGACCTGGGCTCCAGCCGCCACTGTAACCTTCCTGCTGTGACCTTAGCTGGGTCACTCGCTTCTCTGGGCCTCTGGTTTCCTCCTCTGTACCATGGGGCTAGTTGTGCCTTGTGCCACCAGATGAGGGTGTGGGGCTGAGAGGGTGGTGTGGGGTCCCCACTGGATGACTTCTCTCTCCCCCCCCATCTCTCTTGTCCCCACAGTCCCTGGCAGAGGGGCCTCCATTCCAGCTTCAGCCTAGTCGTCTGGGGCCCACGGAGGAGGAGCTGCCGCCGCCTCCAGACGAGCCTGTCGGCTTCCCGGAGAGAGAGGCGTCCACAGGTGTGGGCCCAGGGCTGGGGGGTTCTGGGGGGTCCTCAGGGGGCCAGGCTGAGCTTCCAGGTGGGAACTGGGACAGCGGGGACCACCGGTGTCCTCCCCAGCCCCCCGTTCAGTGATGGCTTTAGAGTTGTACATCGACTTTATTTTCATCGCTTTAACGTTTTTTCCTTTCGCACCAAAATCCACATAAAATTGATCATCTTGATCACCGAATTTGCTATGATGGCAAAAACACCTGGAATTTCTTTTCACTACTTAATTTTTTGAGTGTCCGAGACCCTCACATTGTACAAAATGGAAGATGAAAGGGTGCACAGCGGAGCCTCCCCTTGTTGATGTCGTGCGTAGTCTGTCAGACGTACGTCATGCACACGTACAATACAAATACAGATATGCATCGCCCCACCCCCCATTCTTCCTACAAATAGGAGCAAACTCCGTGCTGTCCTGCACTTTCTTTGTGCATCTTAGAGCTCAGTCCGCACGAGAACACGTGGTGGGTGCTTCCTCTTTTTCACAGCTGCGTCGTGTTCCTTTGTGGGGCCCCACCACTGCGTTTACCAGTCGCCTGTGAACGGGTCTTTAGGGGGCTCCTGCTGAAACAAAAAATAAGGCTGAGGTGAAGTGCTTTGCACATGGTCGTTTTTCCTGGCTGCAAGTCTGTGAGATAAATTGCTAGAAGCGGGAGTAGTGTGGCCCAGCGTGGGTGCATTTCTAGCTGCGTGTCTTTTGCTGGATTGCCCTTCGTGATCAGCCCGATCCGCCCTCCTGACAGCAGCGTCTGTGTGACCGTTGGCCCCCAGCCCCACCGGCACCCGAGTTATTCCTTTAATAAACAGTAATGAGCTCTTATCATCTGTCAAAAGGCCTCGCAACTCCAAAGTCATAAAATAATCCTCCTCTGGTTGCTCTTGGTGTTCTCATGCTTTCATTTTCCACATCTCCCACACACTGGGAATGATTGGGGTGTGGGTGTCACGAAGGAGGCTTCCCCCCACTTTGATATTTTGCAGATGGCAACCCAGTTGTCGCAACACTGCGTCTCTTTTCAAAGGCCATTTGCTTTGCTCCTTACTGCTCCTGCCGACCCTCAGGAGGCGAGGTCGCACTCACGAGCCCCAGGGGGTCAAGGCAGAGACCTGGCACCCTGGGCATGTGTGGGTGGTGACCCGGTACAGTCCTCCCAGGTTGGGCAGGTCATGGCCTGTGTCTCTTCTACCCCAGACGTCTGTGCCTTCTGCCACAAGACTGTGTCCCCCCGAGAGCTGGCTGTGGAAGCCATGAGGAGGCAGTACCACGCCCAGTGTTTCACGTGCCGCACCTGCCGCCGCCAGCTGGCCGGGCAGAGCTTCTACCAGAAGGATGGGAGGCCCCTCTGTGAGCCCTGCTACCAGGTAACCCCCTGCAGCAGCTTCCTGGGTGCCAGGTCCTGAGCCAGGCACGTGGGAGATGTAGCATTTCATTCCCACAGCAGCCCTGGGAGGCAGGCAGTACTGGCCCATTTCACGGAGGAGGAGGCGGAGGCTCAGAGATGGGGGAGGGGCTCAGCCAAGGTGGATGGCTTTCCTGTGACAGCTGTAACCTTGCCACACACTTGGTGGCGCCAGACAGCACACAGTGACCCTCTTACAGTTCCAAGTCAGAAGTCCAAAATCTGTCCAATCACAGCGTTGCGCTCCACCCCCACGTCAGACTCTAGGGGCGGATCTTTCCTTGCCCTTTCCAGCTTCTAACTCTGCGTCCCTTGCCAGCCTTGGCTCCTCTGTTCCTCTTCCAAGTCAGCAGGGTCACATCGTGCTTGGCTGTCAAGTTCCTTTCCCTGTTCCATCTCCCTCCTGCCTCCCTCTTACAGGGACCCTCACAATGGCATTCAGGGCCCACCTGGATCACCCAGGATAATCTCCCCATCTCAAGGTCAAGTACATTTGCATAGTCAGGTGCCAGGCGTTAGGTCCTGGGTGCCTCTGAGGCTGTCACTCACCTTTCACACAGGGTCAGGCTCCAGAAGGAGGTGGAACTGGGGTTCTCCCGCCCCCACCCCCCCATGCAGGGAGCTCTGGGCTTGCCCGAGGTCTCGCGCTGTCCCGTAGAGCCACGAGGTTCTGAAGGGGGAGTCTGGCACCGCTGGGTACCGCGTGCGGTCTGGGTGCCGAGCTGTTGATATTTCTGGCTCTCCAATGGCGCGTGGTGGCATGTGGTGACGTGTTTCTGTGTGGCGTGAAGACCACCGTGGATGCAGGCCTCACCTCGTCCTCCTGAATTGGTGGCCCCTGGCACTCTGCATTTCAGCAAGTCTCTCAAGCGATTCTGGTATACTGGGAAGTTTGAAGATTCCCGGTTTGAGGACTGGGAATTAGGACTGAGAGTTGGGACTCAGTCCACAGAGTCAGAACGACCTGACCCCAGGCAGGAGGCACTGTGAGAGGAGAGAGGAGCCAGGCTGCCCAGCCCTCTGACCTCATCAGTGTAGAGAGGCAGATGGCCTTGCCCTCCTTCCTCAGCTTAGAGCCGGGTAGGGGTGAGGCACTGAGGGGATGCAGGGGGGAGGGGGAGGGAGCTTAGAGCTGGAAGCATTGAGGGGGGACTGGAGCCGTGAGCTGAGGACAGAAGGGCTGCCCTGGGAGGGAGGGAGGGAAGGGGCAGTGTATCCCCTCCCCCTGAAATATACCTGTCAGATGAAATGGGGTTAAAATGAACAGCACAGGAAGGGGAAGAGAGATGTGTAGGAGAAATGGGCTGGTTAGGGGAGGCCGGTCAGTCCACCTTAGTGATAACTCTCATCCCTCCTCATTCCTGAGGTACTTTATATGGTTGTACATGTACCTATAGTCAACAATAATATTGGGAGGGTAGATCTCATGTTAAGTGTCCTTATCACATAAAACAACTGAAAAAATGCACATAACATTATGGGATGTAAAATAAACTAGAACAGAGGAAAATCAAAGTACAGAGTAAGTGTGAACCTCAAAGGGAAAGTTAATAGTACCCCCAAAATATATATAAATAAAAGACCCTTACAATTCCTAAAAGGGGAGCATGGAATTTGACTCCGAGCTTCCCAGTGGGCAAATGGAAAAGGGAAAGGGTTTCAAGGTTTATTGTCTATAAGAGAAAAAGCACACCAGCTTCTCTAGGAATTCCTTTTCCTGACTTGGAAATTTAGAAGAAATTTCTTCTGTGAACCCTAGTGGATGTGGCCTCGGCATTTCCTAGTAACAAAACTTGCTGTCATAGCTTCGTGGCAGGATTCCTCACTGGAGGCCAAGGACACAGGGCCCAGCTTGATCCACTGAAGTAGTAGTGCAGGTTTTGGGGTGGTAGTTATAGGCCAACTGCGTGAGTCTGGGCTCCTCACCTGTACCCCTGGCCTCCTGGGCCCCTTCTGAGCTGGTCAGAAGCCCTTTGTGACTTGGAGTGGGCACACGTGTGGATGGCTGTGAGGCAATGGTCCTCTGTCCCAGGACACCCTGGAGAAGTGTGGCAAGTGTGGCGAGGTGGTCCGAGAACACATCATCAGGGCCCTGGGCCGGGCCTTCCACCCAACCTGCTTCACGTGTGTGACCTGTGCCCGGTGCATCGGGGATGAGAGCTTCGCCCTGGACAGCCAGAACGAGGTGTACTGCCTGGACGACTTCTACAGGTACGAGAGGGGTCTGGGCGCTGGGTGGGGCAGGACAGGGTGGGACTTGGGCAGAACAGAGGAGCTGATCCCGAGTCCTGGGGGGCTGGGGGAGAACTGAGCCCGAGACCCCGGGGCCAGGTGAACAGCTTTCCTGCAGGAACTGGGTCTGCCCTTTCTGCACACCCCCCATCTGACCGTGTACCTGCTTGCATTTAACGTTTTGAGCACCTACACTGTGCCAGGCACTCGGGTTAGGCCATTTCATCCTCAAAACTAATGTTGTAGTAGATTAAGAACAGAGAACTTAATTGAATCGGGCCTTCAGGCATGCACACATCACCTCTATCAGGCAGGCACTGCCAAGGGTTCCGTTTTACCAAATGTGGAAACTGAGGCATGCAGTGGATAAGTACCCAGTCTCCTCCCAGCTGGTAAGGATGGAAGTCACGACTCAACAGCCTCCTGCCCAGCGCCCGTGGCCTGCACCATTGGCCTGAATTCTTGGGCCTTGCTCTCAATCCCTAGACCACAGTGCCATAAGCAGCAGTAGCGACAGGCATATCCCAGAGGGCGGGACAGATGTGCCCGTTGGAAAGAAAGGAAGAAGAAAAAGCAATGACCTACAATACAAGACGAATGAAACGGGCCCCAGCCCCGCTGAACTCACAGGAGATGTCTTCGCTTTCTCAAATTCTGACGTTCACCTCACTTCCTTGCCTCCAGCTAATTATACCCTGGGAAGCCGGGTCTAATTACTCCGGTCTCTCCATCCGCCCCTGCCAGGAAGAAATAGGCATTTGCGGTTGTAGCTCCAGGTGCAGTCACGTAGCAACAGGTCTGAAATAGCTCTGGGAGGTGAATTAGAGCCAGGCGCCGTTCTGACAGCTAATTTCTGTGGTTGTCGGCGTGAACGCCTCCGAAGTGCATTCTCTTCCCTCTAGGAAATTCGCCCCGGTGTGCAGCATCTGCGAGAATCCCATCATCCCCCGAGACGGCAAGGATGCCTTCAAAATCGAGTGCATGGGAAGAAACTTCCATGAAAATTGCTACAGGTGCGAGGTGAGTGAAGCAGTGATTTCATGACATGCTGCACGTCGCGTTCAGTCACACAAGTAGAGTCTATTAATCGGAACTCTTTGAATTAATGATAGAAACTGAACTCAACCTACTTTCTGCAAGAAAGGGGGTTGTGGGGAGGCTCAGAGATGTCACTGATTGTATCCAGTGACACTGTTATGGCACACTCTCGTTTCTCAGTTCTGCCTTTTTTGTGTGTTTGCTTCATTTTCTCTTCTTATGGGCTAGTATCCTCTATGAGGAGGGGGTTACAGTGCATGGCTACCTTTGGGACAGGCTTACATCCATTTATTTAACTTGGAAATGATATCAAGAGAGCCAATTCAGTCCCAAGAAGGCTTCTGATTGGCCCAGAGTGGGTCACGTGCCCATTCTAGACCAATCACTTGTCAGGGGCTGTGATTAACAACTCCTGAGGCCAGGGAGTTGATTCCACCGTAGGAAGGAAGGCAGAGATGATGGGCAATCCCGCACCGCAGACATCTTTCCCGGTGCTGGAAAAGAGCATACATAAATCAGCTTTGGGACTAAAAAGCCTGTTGTGGAGTCTAACCAGAGAGGTTGTAGAGGAAGTGATGCTTATCCTGGGTCTTGAAGGATGAGTAGGAGTTTGTCAGATATTCAGAGAGAAGAAAGGAAGTCCAGAAAGGAGCTAGGGTCTGTGAAAACCCACTTTGGTATGAGCAAGCCTGAAGAATCAGAGGAAGTGGACGTTCCTAGGTGCGTCTGGAGTGTTGAGTGTGAGAGGCCGTGGTCAGAGAGAAGGAAAGGGCCCTCGTGCCCCAGGCCGCAGGGACAGGTGAAACCAAGGTGAGAAGCTGGTGCAGTAATCCTAGCAGGAAGTGCCCGGGGAGTCCCACAGGTCCCTGCACACAGAAGCTTGGAAGCTCTCTTGTCACCGTCATGAAAACCTTAATTTTTTTTTAATGTCAGATGGGTAGTGTGCCGATGTTACAAGGTTTGTGGGAGGCTCATGTCACACAAGAGCGTGAACATCCAATCATCACACTTAGGAACTACAGAAGGGTCCGGAAATCTTAATTATTGAACAAGGGGTTCTGCATTTTCATTTTGTCCCAGATGCTGTAAATTACATAGTCAGTCCTATTGGGGGCGCTCTAGGGGTCCTCCCCTGCCTCTTCCACTGTTGGCTCCATGTCACTGATGTTTCTGTCTTTGATGACGGGAACAAAGGTGGCAACTTTTGTGGGTGTCACCTAAGTGGGGACCCCCAGAGCAAACCTCTTAATCAGCCAGTAAGTCTAAACATTTCTTCAAACAGACACATGGAACCAAGGGGCTGTTTTTTTATAAGTGTGACAAGGGAGCTCGGTCCAGAAGGTGACAGATAGCTTCAGAGTTACGTTGTCTTTGTTGGTCAGAGTCCAGAGTCCAACTGATAGCACATCTGGAAGGAACGGTGACGGAAATCGAGTGTGCATGTCACCACTATAGCCCTCATAAGGTCCAGTGGTGATAAGCATTTCCCCGAGCCTGGTTAGAGAGCAAATAACACCTCCCTGCTTGTCCTTGGTCAGCTGGGCCAAGGCTACAGTGAGCATTCCCGGGCTGCAGCAGAAAGCCAGAGTTTCGACCTGCGGGTACATTTCAGGTGGCGAGACTCAGACTGCCTCGGCCTGGAACAGACTGGGGCTCTGTTTCTTGGGGAAGGGAAAGAAAGGGGTTTCACGACGCTGTCCACACTCCTCTGGTTGTTCCTGTCCCTTGTGGTCCGTGTCATTTATTACCATTGCTGGAGGGGTAGCAGCGCTTTCATACCTGGGCCTTGATTTTTAACATACAAAATGCTTTCGTACACATTGCCTTACTTGATCCTGTGATGATCTTGTGAGATGGGAGTTAGTGTCTCCATTTAAGATGCCGAAACTGAGTATGAGAAAAGTGATTCCAGCCCTGTTTGTCTGCACTGGTGGACAAACAGCTCCACCCTACAGCTCCTTCCCAGTTGTGTGACTGTCATAGTTGAGATGTTTCCTTCCTCGACTCTAATTTAGAAGAGGTCACATGTGCACTTTTGTGACTTTACATTTGGCAACTGATGCTCTCAGAGCCTGGCATTTAAATAGTCCTTGAGAGAGACTTGAGATGCAGTTGCAGAAAAGAGACACACGAGGGCGCCCTCTGCTGGCCTTGCGTCAGAATGGCACCCCTGAGCCCCAAGTTGTCTCCGAAGGGACCAGCCCCTCTGAACTGATTAATGCAGCTTCCAGAGGATGCCAGCCATGCCCTGAACCGCATCCCTGGGCATTAGTTGTCCCCATTATTACTCCCCAGTGTGTGCCCTGGTAAGGCTGAGGTGAGGGACAGCCTTGCGGCAGAATGGTGAGCTTAGCAGGTTGGCCTCCAAATCTCATTCTCAAGTCGTTTGGTGATTTGAGAATTTGAAATTGTAAAGTTCGTGCCAGTGTCGAAGCTGTGCAGAAAGTGGAGACCCAGGGCAAGCCCCGACCCTGCCTGGGCCTCGGTTTCTTCATCTGAGATGAAGCCCGGGCTGGTTTCAGTTACTCATTCAGCAGATGTTTGCCAAGGGCCCGCAGGGCACCGGGCCCTGGTCTGGGCGGCATCCAGCAGGAAATGGGGTCGCTGCTTTGCAGAGGTCATGTCCTACAGGGACTGCTGGGCGGCTGTGAAGGCTCTTCTGCCTTTTTTCGTGATCCCTCCGGGGGCGTCTCCCCTCTGGTGACTCTGCCTGCTCACCACGCCCTACCTGCTGTGGGCGGGAGCCCTGTGTGCCTTGTCTTCCCCAGTGGGGACCTGCCCCAGGTGTGCTGGGGGAAGAGGAATGAGGAGCCACCTTCCAGCCCAGAGGGAGTTCATTCATTCGGGTCGTTTCATCAGCAGACACTGGGCCAGCTCCAGGCTGCGCCCAAGCCTGGGGTCCATCTGCATGTCCTTTGTCCCCACAGGACTGCAGGATCCTCCTGTCTGTGGAGCCCACGGACCAAGGCTGCTACCCGCTGAACGACCGTCTCTTCTGTAAGCCGTGTCACGTGAAGCGGAGCGCTGCGGGGTGCTGCTGAGGGCGCCGCGGCCCCGGTGGGGGGCCTTTGCCCACTCGGCTTCCCTGCCTGACTGCTCTTGTGCACCTTCTGAGCCGCAACAGGGACCAGCCCCGGCCTCCTCCCAGCTCAGCAGCGGCAGCTGGCAGACAGTGCCCCTCTAACTCTCACCTCCTCCTCCTGTCCCCTGGGCACCGGAAGTCCCCATAACACGAGTATCTCATGGGGTGCCATGATTGAGGCTCCAGCCCCTCTTGCACACTGGCCTTGACTCCACCCACTTCCAGGGGTGAGGTGGCACCCTGTGTCCCTAGCAATGACACTTGAGCTGTTCCGTTAGGGTGCTGAGATCAGCTCTGGCTTGCAGAACTTAGCTGTTTGAGTTAAACTCCAAAGTCCCTTAAAAAGTACTTTTTTAAAATATCAAGGTTTAAATGATGAGAAACATTCTTTGAATTTTTTTTTGCGAGGAGAGCGTACCTTAATAGGAAATGTTTCCCGTTTGTTCATAAATGTACAAGAATGTGACCTGGGGTGGCATGGCCATGGACCCTGGCCCAGCTGTGAGCCTGAAGAGGAGGGCAGGAGGAAGGGCGAGATATGCCAACACCCAAGGGCATCAGCAGCCCCATGTGCCAGTCAGCTGACACTTAGTAAGTGCCAGTTGTATGCAGGAAACTGGGTGCAGGTGCTCTGAGGGTCCTTCATGTGCCTTAACTGGGGTGTGCACACCCCTCCCCCACATGCACACTCTCACACACACACACTCCTTCGAGACAGTGCTGGGGGGTGTCCCTTCAACCTCCTGCTTGTCTCACCAAGGCCCACACAGGCCCCCCAGCCCAGGCTGCCCTGCAACCGCTGCCTCTTCAAGGCTGCACCCAGAAGATTCTTCTATTTTAAGGAAAATCACTTTTGTTGCTTGGTAACTTCTACAGCATTTTGTAGGGCACGAACAATGTCGTAAGGTGCACTTTTCTCCCTGGGGCGGTCCTGACACATCGAAGGCTCCGGTATGCATGCCCGTGCCGGCTCCAGGTACTGAAGAGCTTCTCTTAGAGCCCCTTAGGGGCGTCAGAGCAGCGGGCCCCAAACCCCAGGCACTCACAGCCCACGCCCACCACTGTCATAACCAAGGACCTCATACCCTCACACTGCCTTAGTATTTTCTTTAAATCAACATCCTGTATTTACTCCCAGCTCTAGTCTTGTGCTGAACAATGTAGCTGTGCAGTCACAGGTTGGTGTGCTGGTTACATGTTTCCTATTCCACGTGAGAATAAACGCATTACTGTTAGAAGTCCGTCTGTGTTCCGTCCAATGTCTTGCCGAGATAGACACGAGCCTTTGATCGTAGCCCTGGAAAAGCGTGCCCTGGGCGTCTGCTCACAGTGGTGTGGGCGTTCAGAAAGTGCTTCTCCTTTCCCGCAGAGTGGGGCTCCGCTTAGCAGGTCAGGGAACTCATGCTCAGCAGTGGCAACTCGAACCAACCAGCTCATCGTGCCACTTCTTCCTGCCCACGGGCCACCTGTGCAAAGCAGCCATCTGAGGCCACCAAATCTTAGCAGAGTCGACCCTCACCTACAGGATGCACACGGTGCACGTGAAGAGGACCACACTGGTGCCGGGGCTCACTCGGTGGGCGCAGCTCCAGAGAGGAGGGCATTTGGCAGGAAAGCACTGGGCTTGAGAGGCAGGCAACTTGGCTCTCAGACCTGGAGCTGCCACTCCATAGTGTGGACTAGTTCTTAAGCCTCCAAAACTTGATGTTTTCATCTGTAAAATGGGAACGACTCTAGTCTCCATCACGTAGGGTTGCTGGCGTGGACAGCAATGTGGGGTTGGCAGGTTTCTGACTGGTTCAGGGAGCTCCCTGCTCCCTCTGGTGCTGGCCCACAATTCTTAGCCGTCACTCCTGTCAGCATTCCGCAATGGCCCTGTGGAAGCCCCTCAATCAGGCAACGCCAGGGACCTGCCCCCAGGAAACAAAGGGGTTGTTTGTGCTTGCTTCCCCTCACAGCGAATGTTAGGAGGGACTCAGAACTGGGCAGGTGCTGAGGACTTGGGGAGGATTTAAGGGACTGGGGTTTGCTGTCAGGAAATGGGCCATTCTATGGTTGAGAAGCTTTTTAAAGAAAATGTCTGCGGTGTGGCTCTACACCTGAGCTTGGTAGGGAAGGAGTGGTGTCTCACAGGACTGGGTGCTGGTCATTTCAGCCGCTGGCCCGGAGGGGCCGTGCTCAGGATATGACTGCAGTGAGCTGGGAGACTGGAGCCCAGCAAGGCCCAGTGTGAGGGCCAGGCCAGCTAGCTCCCTGCTGCGAGGGGCTGCTGGTTCGGTTTCTCCCATATTCGAATAGCCCTGCGCCGAGATTCCTCACGGCCCAGCTTGTTTCTAGTTGGGTATGTCGTGAGGGATGTCACCCGGATGAACTTCTGTGGGATGCCATTGTTCCCCAGGCTTCCCGTTTATAAGTCACTTCACAGGCAGACAATTCGAGGGAGATTTCTGCAGTGTGAAGTAAGGCTGTGTGATTCCCCTTAGCGTAGCCAAATTCACAGAGACAGACAGGAGACAGCTCAGCGTGGAGAGCACTCCAGAAAGGCGGGCTGGGGGAGGGGGAGTTCGATGAGTACAGAGTTTCCGTTCACAGGATTAAAATAAAGGAGTGGAGATGAACGGGGAGATGGTTGCACAATAATGTGAATCTACTTAATGCCACTTGAAAATGGTTACAACGGCACACTGTAATGTATATTTTGCCACAGTTAAATACCTACATGTAGATGTAATGCTCAGCCCTGGCTGGTGTAGCTCAGTGGATTGAGCGCGGGCCTGGGAATCAAGGAACCACAGTTCGATTCCCAGTCAGGGCACATACCTGGGTTGCAGGCCAGTTCCCAGCAGGGGACACACAAGAGGCAACCACACATTGATATTTCTCTCCCTCTCTCCTTCCCTTCCCCTCTAATGATAAATTAAAAAAAAATAGATGTAATGCTCGGAGACAGAGAGGGGCTGATAGACAGGGAGGGGCTGATAAAGTGATGTAGGCTTCTTGGGAGGGGTACCTGTCCCCTTGATTGCAGCCCTGTCCTGGGAAGAAGGCTCAGTGCAAACCCGGCGAGACGCTGCTGGCTGACCTGCGCTTCCTGAAGGCAGGTTCTGAGCACAGCCACTAGAGGGCAGCGTGGGCTAGCGAACTCGGCCTGGAGCTGGGGAGCACCAACATCCACCCTCTCATGGGGTCCTCAGCTTCTTGCGATACAAGATGAAAATACCTACTGTGCGCAGTTGCAGAGAGGATGAGAGGAGATGACAAACTGGAAAACTGTGGCATTGCTGCAACTGGAACGCACCCTCGTTGGAGGGAGACCCGTGTCAGGAGACAATTCCTCCCGGACTCCAGTCTGTGGGGCCTCCCCACCTGGGAGCTCCCACGTAGCCTCCTACAAGTGGGTACCTGGGGACGGGCTCAGTGAGCACCGATTCCACACAAGCCCCTGTGGGGTTGCTGGGGTGCCTGAGGTTTTCCGCTTGTCACGCCGCCTCAGGGCCCCCTTACCTGAGGCCACACCCAGGTGTTTGAATTGTGAACTCCACCCAGTGTGCATCAGCCCCTCCACCCCCCACCCACCCAGGGCCACTGAGTGCTGCTCCTCACGCTGCCAGGAACACAAGCGGTGGAAACAAGGACTTCGTGGAGAGCAGACTGGGATCAGGGTGAGGGAGAAGGAGAAGGTTGCGCCAATGGGAAAAAATCCCCGTGACCATGGACCATCGTCAAAGAAATGGTTTTATCCACTTAAAACACACTTCTAGGAGGCGAATAGCTGCTCTGAAAACTAATCATGATCTATGATGTAGGTGACAATTCAGAGACAAGGACACTGCATCAGAGAGAGGATGTGACCACCCAGGGCTGCCAGCAGAATGGGGCTTGAACCAGGTCCGCTGAAAACTACAGGCCTCGGCCACAGGCCCAGGTCCCAAACACCCACAATCTACAATGTTCCAGGTGCCGAAATTGAGCAGGAAAAAAATCTTAAACGTCTTTTCACCCTTCGCTTTAGCAGCTGCAGATGTAACTCCCCCGATTCATTCAGGATGGACTTTGCATTCATAGTGCCCGAGACGTACCAATCTTGAGAATGACCGTCAGGTTCGAGACTGCAGAGTGCGTCCTACTCACGACCTCCCTTTCACAGGAAAAAAAATGTGCAGTTCAGTGGAAAACGACTTGCTGTCCATCAGCATCCCCTCCGGGTGTCAGATGCCAGCCCCTCGAGCTATTATTGTACAGCAATACATCCTGGCAGGGCAGACGGGCCCCCTCAGCCCCTTGTGGGAAAAGCAATTCCACCCTATTTGCACATTCGTTTCAATATTCCTCACCTATAAATGTGAACATTCTTTTGTTGCCCCTTTGAGCTAGTCGGTTATAACATGCCCACCTGGTTCCCGTAGGAGTTAAATACAATGTTTAGCAAGCGTTGATTGTATACCTTTTTTTGAAAGTTGCAATGCTTCCTTCATCGGGAACCTATGGACAGCCCCTTTAGGCCAGGAGAGGTGGTGTTCAGGAGCCTTAAGAAGCAGCAGGCAGGTAGCAGCTGCCCCTCCTCCCTGCCCAGAACAGTCTCCAACAGACGAGGGTGGGGTGGGCTCTGCTCAGGTGGATGGGACAACGCCTTAGCAAGACCCTGAAGCTCCCTCTGGTTGAGCTGCTAACCAGTCACTTGAACTTGAGACAACCCTTTAGACCTCAGGGTGAGGAAGGACAATAGAAACTGACTCTTATTTCCTGAGTGCTTGTTCAGGGCGAAGCTCAAGAGGTCGGATGATTGATTATTCTGGACAGGAGGCAGGTTTCAGCAGGGTTAGGTAACCGGTCTGGAAAGGTAACCAGGCTGGTCAGACGGGGAGGCTCAGCCTGTGACCTGCCTGCCCCTCGGGGGACCACCGCACTGCCACACCAGCAGTTGCCGGGGGCTACTCCATGCTCGTCCCATAGTGTCTTCCCAACACCTCTGCATGGAAGGTTCTGATCGTTCCCATTTTACAGATGAGAAAACAGAGGCTCAGGGAGATGCTGTGACTTGCCCAAGGACACAGCCAGCGACCATGGGGGAACTGTACCCTAGTATTTCTAACTCTCAGCCCTTAGGGCCTGGTCGAAGCACATCTATAGGGCCCACCTGCCTCCCAGGAAAGGTGCCCAGAGGGTGAGTGGCAAAGATTCAGCCAAACATAATCCTTAACAAAGAAATGGGAGCGATCTGGGCTGCTTAGTCATGATGATGCTGGCCGTAATGACAACAGCGACCATTTCCTGGACAGGTAGATGTTTAGCCTCGAGGTAATTACTGCCGATCCATCCTTGAGACAAGGAGTCTAAGGTTCAAGGTCACACCACTGGTGCTTCTGGCCCTAATGCCACCCCTAACCCTGTTCTTTCACTGCCTTCGCCTCTTCAGCCTCTTCACTACGAGCCCAGGCAAGGCACTCTGCGAATCTCTTTTCTTCATTGGTGAAACACAGAGAATGACCAGTATCAAGACATTTTTTAATTTAACTTTCGGGTTTTTTTTTTTTTTTTTAAGATTTTACTTATTTAGAAAGAGGGGAAGAGAAGGAGAAAGAGAGGGAGAGAAATATCAATGGGCGAGAGACTCGGCCACCCCTCCTACGTCCCCAGCTGGGGACCAGACCCACAGCCCAGGCACGAGCCCCGACTGGGAATCGGACCTTTCCGTCCCAGGCTGGCAGGCAACCCACAGCAGCCAGAGCTCTCCAGACATTTAAAGAGATTAAGTAGCATCTGACTAAGTGCCACTGTGGGTTTCCCGTGCAGATAAATGTTGCCGGTGCTGTTTTCTTACGAAAGGTGCAACAAGAGGGAAACTGCTGAAGGGTGTTGGGAAACTCTGTGCGTCCTCTGCGACATTTCTGTTCATCTGCAATTATCCCCAAATTAGAAGTTTACTGTAAAAAGTAACAGGAGAAAAGGGAAAGCTCGTGATCTTCAGGAGGCTCCGCCTCTCCCTGATGCGAAGATGCCAGGGCAAGAGGAGGCCGTCAGATATTTATCTGCAAAGGGGGGTGTGTGTTGGGCTGGGAGGGGAGAACATGTCTGGAAAAGGGGGATGGAGAGGGTGGAGGAGGGGAGGTGGGAGACCCTGATTGTTCCCAGAACTGGAGCGAATCCCTGGTGGCCCCAGATGGCCAAGGTCAGGCAGCCAGTGTAAACAAGAGCTTTGGGCCTGGTTTTCCCTCACCCTGGTGGCCCCCTGAGCCTGGGA